TTTTTCATATTTGTGAACAAATCAATCCTATTGCTTATTAATTACATCTACCGGAGTCTATGAAGATCCACCATGTATTTCACATATCCCTTTTTGAGTCGTATAAGATAATAAATATCTCCAAAAGAAGCCAAATGCCACGCTTCTTATAGAAATAGATAATAATCAAGAATTTGAAGTATAAGAAGTCTTAGTTTCAAGGCGACGTTGAAATAGGTTGGAATATCTTATTAATTGGTATGGATATGATATTAATGAATGTACATGGGAGCCATCAAAGAATCTTGCAAATGTAATAAAGAAATTTGAATCCTTTCATCAATCACATCCATCAAAATTAAGATGAAGAATAACAAATCTTTGCTATAAAAGAAACAAGACCAAAAGAAGATAACACTCTACTTTCTATCCTTCTTTGTAGCTTCTGTATAGTTAAGAAGATGGAGAACCAATAACCAGCAAATCTAACTCAAGAGCTTTTATTTGTAGATTTACTAAACAAGACATTGAGATTGTCACAACCTTCAAGATGATGAAATTGAAATGAAGATCCTCAAGAATAACATGTCTTTTCTCAAATAGATGGCAAGATACAATGTGTTTGGTATCATGACCTTAGAAGAGACTCCTAATGTTTAGTGATTTTATTAGAAGTAGGAATAATTCTTGATGGTATTCTAAATATATTATTTGAAGGAAGTTACAAAGGCCTCAACAATGACCAAATAATAGGGTGGTCTTTTTGCCTTAGTATGGAATACTATCAATAGTTGAGAGGGCCTATCAACCATCTTCAAAGAGAACAAAGTTTGGAGCATGTGGTAAATATAGTTTGTTGCATCTTAGATTTCTTCAACATATGAACATGGTTCCTTGTGGAACTCATCCTTAGAAGGGGGAATAATGTCACGGACATACATAGGGATTTTAGTAAATCTATATGATTAGGTAGGAGTAGATAAAAATAGATAAAAGTATGTTATCTTCATAAAACCTTTTAGAAAAACTTTCTAAAAGCTTCATAGATATTGTTTGATTTTACATGTATTTGTAGTTGATTGGTAGATTAGAAACTTAGTGATTAAGTTAACAGCGTATTGATAGCTTGTAGAACAAGCTAATTATGTGGCACACATATAGAAAACCTGCCTTGCAAGTTAAGATACATGTCTTGCAAAGTTAATACATTTTGGAGGTTTTAGAAGACATCACCATATAACTCTTACTTAAGAGTATATATGGAGGCAAGAGTGAAGCCTTTTTCACTCATGTCAATGCCTTTTTAGACCTTAGTCTTCTTTCAAGACTTTCTACTTTTCTTGTTTTTGACAATAGCCATTCTAATTCAATATTATATCATCTTTGAGTGACTTTCTAGTTTCTTTTAGTGATATAAGAGTGTATTGAGGATTTTCTTTCTTCAAGATTCATGTCTTTGATACCATGTATCTTACATGTTACATATGGATCAAAGGTCGTATACAATGCTGCCATATAATTCTTAAATTATAGCATATGTAGTAGTAAGAATATACCCTTCTTTACTTTTGTTGATTTTTTATTTTATTTTTAGTATAATTTCAAGAGATTTTAGTTATTTAATCTTTTAAAAATAGAAATTTGATCTTTTTTTTAGTTATATATATATATATATATATATATTTCTTTTTTATCTTTTTTTAGAAAGTACCTCAGTTGATCTTTTATATTTTTTAAGTTTTTATCTTTGATACTTTCAATATTGATTCTATAAGAAATATTTTGATTTACATTGTTTAATCTTAGAATGAGTATTTTTAGAAGTTTAAAGACTTTGAAGGTCTTTTTTAGGAACAAAATGAGTCTTTTATTAACATATTACATATTAACATCAGAAGTGAATATATATATATATATATATATATATATATATATCTAAGAAATTTGATATGTATTTGAAGAATGAGAGAATTTCTAGTCAAATCATAATTCCATACATTCTACAAAAAGAAGATATTGGTTAAAGATAAAATTTTATTATTATGAAGATGTACAATTTTTTAGTTATGAATTTTGAAGTGAATCTGTTAACAATGTTTTTTATATAATAATTTAGTATTTGATGAGTATTTTTATGACAATGATATTATAACAAGATTAGAGTAGAAGAAAACCTTACATTTTTAGACTTAAAGACCTTCAAATGTATTATATGTGTCAAGATATTAGATTGTATGAGGTTCAAATTTGATAGATTATAAATTGTTTATTGCTAGGCTATTGTGAAAGTGCTAAAGCATACAAAGTATTATATATGGATAGCAAAAAGATCATCAAAAGTTGAAATTTTTGAATATAAGAGTACTATTAGCTCTTAGATGTTTATCAAATTAGACGTAAAAGTGTGTTTTTTGATATATTCTACAAACAATACAAATGAAAAGAAGACAATGAAGCATTGACATCAAATGAAGAATCTAGAACTTATAAGGATAAGACTTTATTAATTCAAAAGACCAACAATGACGATTTATAAGTTAAAAAAGATGTTTTATATCAAAATCAATATTAAATTAAAAAAGATATTTTAAAAGAATGAAGAACTTTATTAGAAACAATAGTATTCACCAAGACTATTCTTATTGAATGAATGGAGATATTCCAATTAAAAAACGAATTTCACTTGGTAAATGATATCATAACTACATTTTCTTCAAGTTAGTTGGAAGCATGCAAATGTTGCTCTTCTTGTTGGTGTCTTATCTTTGTACAATGCCATAAAATCCCAAGATGCAAAGAAAGCCATATTAAAAGGATATGAATCTCTTTTAGACAATCTTACATGAGAATTGGCTTGTCATATTATAAATTGATTTAGTAATGGTTATAAGTAGGCATTTATGGCTAATAGAGGTGCAAATATTTGAAAATCTACAATAGAATACATATTCTTTATTGGAGTGAAAGCCATCTCAGAGAATTACAAAAAACAACCAACTATTGCAAAATTTACCATACGAGTTAAGATCATGACAAGAAGTCATTATGCAATTGAAGCAATTTAAATAAAAGAACTCTAAGAAGACATTGGATTTGTGCAATTGGATGCAACTTTAATATTGTGTGAAAAATAAGAATGTCTTATATTTGCTAAAAATCTAAGCATCGTTAAGAACCAAATATATTAATGTTTGATATTATTTCATAAGAGAGAAGATTAAAAATAGATAAATGAATATAAAGTATATTGCTACAAAAGACATGCTTGATGATATGCTTATAAAGATGTTAAGATTGACAAGTAGTAAAGTAAGAATATTAAGGATCAACAATTTTTTGACTTATTACCACTACTTAAAGTTTAATCTTAATAAGTTGCTAGTTATTAAAAAGTAGCAAAAGCACAAACAAAGTTATTTGGGTGATGCAAAGTATAATAAAGATTATTATAGATAAAGTTCATTTATATTACATCTACATTCATTAAGACAAAGTATGATAAAAATTATTATAAATAAAGTTTATCTTTATAAAGTGTAATCATCCACTTGTAAGCAAAGGGTGTTAGAAGTGAGAGTTATCTTATTCTATACTTCTCTTTATGTGCAACCTTGCTAATGACAAATATTAAAACTTCTTACTTCTCTTTTTTTTATTTTTTTATTTTTTTATTTTTATTTTAATAATAATGGGTGTAAATATAATTTTTTGACTTAAAAATCAATTTTATCTTGTTTGTTTTAGACTAAAAATTTGAATGCTTCAAAAAACACATAATGCAATATATCAAAGAATAACAAATAATTTCATTAATTTCTGTAATTTCTAATATATTTAAATAGAATCAATTTAGATTCTTAAATGTAATTATATATCTATTTAATCTATAATTAAAATTGCAAGGCCCAACATTAGTTTCTTTTCAATACCTTAATAATCTAAATGTTTAAACAAATAGATTTTTTTAGGTTTATCTAATAGTAATAATAAATGAATATGTCAATTTATAAAAAATTGAAGCAATTATGATTTTTAATAATTTTTTTTCTTAACTCTATTTATAAAACAAATAATATATATAGTTAATTATATTGTTAGTTAATCATTCAATTTTTCTTATATATATATATATATATAGGTTTCAAAAAAAATAAAATGTCATTTACTTCATTAATGTATAAACTTAGTATTTTAAAAACAAACTATAATATTATATCACTTAATATATGTCATTTTTATTTGATATTTATAATGAAAATTATGTTGTAATAATGTAAATTAGATAAAAATTTGTATGCAAATTCTTTAGAACTATTTTTTTTTGTTAAAATGATATATATATATATATATATATATAGACATTTGTAGAATTAGGTATTGAAATTTTTGTACTGATAAATGAAATTGAGTCAGACTTGCATGTGTAAACTCCTCTCAATTAAGTCTTTGGGAAAAAAATAATTATTAGCAAGTTTGCTGGTACACGCAAGCACTCACAGGCACAAGTGTAATCAAAATGAAAACCATTAGTAAAATTGGAATTATGAATTACACTTCATTGAAAGAGTCTAAGTCTAATTTAAAGAATAGCTGTGCACTCAGAAAACTTGGTCAATCACATTTAGACCCTGATGCAAACACATGGAAATAGTCCATGAGTCCGTTGAATATATAAATTTGGATTTCAATCAAATATGGTGAGTGAACAGCCAACTTCTATATATCCTCTTGGCGTGGCATTGGTGCGGGGGGAGAACCACGCCGATGTCAGCAGCTGACGTGGCATCGATTAATTCGTTTATCCCCTCGATTACATCCTAGTGATGAATGAAATCTGCGCACTTTTACATCATCTGTTTATTTGCCGCGCGGTGGTGAGGCATTCCCACCGTAGATGGCGATAAATCAATGATTACCGTCGATTACGATCGACGGTGTAGGGCTACAGTCAGATATCGAACGATGTAAGGACTATCGACTTGGTTGAGGGGGAGGGGATTAGGGTTTGACGCCTTTCTCATCGTGCATCCGACAGCTTTGTTTGTTTGGAGACGCCCGCGTTCTTATCTGTTTGGCGAGTTGGTTGTGTTTTGAGGGTTTGCGGAGCTCATTGCCACTGTTTGTTCACGCTCTTCGTCGGGACTGCAGCCCGTGGTGTGTCTTTCTCCTGGAGTGTTGTTCTCTAAGGTTAGGTGTAGGGGTTATCCGCTTGCCTGCAGCGAAGATTAGACACCTTTCTTAGCAGTTGCAGCGGTCGGTGCTCGCAGCAGGATGGGCGATTCCTACCCCGAAACTGAGGAGTTGCTCGACTACGAGGAGGAGGAAGAAGCGGCGCCCGATGCCGTTGCGGCGAAGACCAACGGCGAGACCGTCAAGAAGTAAGTTTTTCCTCCGACATCGTCTGATGTGTCAGTGTTTCGAGGGTTTCATGGATACCGCAGCTTGAGTAGTCAGATTACGGTTACCGTTGCATTCGTGGAGTTCTTTTGCATGTGTAAGTAGCTGTCTGTGCAGTGGCCTTCGACACTTTCTTACATCCGTTAGCTTCATGGACTGAAGTTCGTGGTCGTCTTGTTAAAGAAGAGTCTGGGAGCCATCGGAGAGTGGGAGTGTTTTCATTTCTTTGTATTGGGCGGATGCGTTCTATCTTTTTATAACTTTCACAAGTGTCTACCCCTGATCAACGTAGTTTATGTAGCCACGTTGTTTTCAAGAGTGTATGATACCTCGGCTTGCTCCCTGGATCATCGTTTTTATGGTTTGATGTTTTTGTCTGTGCAGGGGCTACGTCGGAATTCACAGCTCCGGTTTTAGGGACTTTCTTTTAAAGCCCGAACTTCTTCGGGCTATTGTCGATTGTGGTTTTGAGCATCCATCTGAAGGTTTGATTACTCCTATGTGTTAAACTAGTAATTACGAATGTTGAGAAGCGTAGTATAAGTTGTTCGTTGTATTTGATTTATTTTGAATGTAGAGTTCCTTCTGACACCTAGGCGATGAGGGCATGGCAGCCGCGTTTCTGATTGTTTGGAGCAAACTTTTGTCACTTGTCTTCCTAATGGTCGTTATTGATGCTAGATTTTCGGATTATCTAGTCTCTCGGTTCATGCGTTTGCTTCTGCAATATGATGAATTGCGTTAATCTTATTATTAATGTTATTTGCACTTTTTTCAGGTAATAATTTACTCCAGTTTCTTCGTCTGCCCTTTGGAGCCGTTTAATCTGAACATGTAAGCATTTTATGAGTGTGCCATCTTAACACGGGCAATACGCTATGGGTGGTGAACCAGTCCAACATGAGTGCATACCACAGGCGATTCTCGGAATGGACGTTATTTGCCAAGCCAAGTCAGGAATGGGGAAGACTGCCGTTTTTGTGCTTTCAACTCTTCAGCAGATTGAGCCTGTCACGGGTCAGGTCGCTGCACTTGTCTTGTGTCACACCCGAGAGCTGGCTTACCAGGTATGATTCAGATATCCTGGTCCGCTTCTTTTCTAATTATTGTGGTTCACTGTAAATTCGGGTAGTCTTAGTTTCAATGGCTGTGTTCGCTAGCGATATATGTCCATCTGATCTGTACCTTTTGCATCATACATTGTTTCAATTTTTCTACCGTTGAGATCGGGATTAACTCCCATTCTTATTCATTATTGAATTGTGTGCAGATTTGCCACGAGTTTGAACGATTCAGCACTTATCTTCCAGACATTAAGGTGGCGGTTTTCTATGGCGGTGTTAATATCAAAACACATAAAGATCTACTAAAGAATGAGTGTCCTCACATCGTCGTGGGTACACCAGGCCGTATTCTGGGTTTAGCAAGAGATAAAGATTTGAGTTTGAAAAGTGTGAGGCACTTCATTCTTGACGAGTGTGACAAAATGTTGGAGTCACTTGGTATGGCTTTACTTCTCTAGATGATAGTGCCAATATTTCCCTTCTTGACTGCTGCACACGAATTCGTAGGTTCATTCCGTTAAAGATGCTTGTTGGCTCGCAGAGATCTATCCTACCTGACAGAGTTTTTTCGTTAAAATCCTTTATCGTAATTTGTATAATTTATCTTTTGGAAGAAGGGATGGCCTATATCACTGACCCTAAGTGTTTTGTAGACATGCGAAGGGATGTACAGGAAATTTTTAAATTAACTCCTCACGACAAACAAGTAATGATGTTCTCTGCTACATTGAGTAAAGAGATACGACCTGTCTGCAAGCGATTTATGCAAGATGTAATTTCTCGTGGCCAAGTAAACTCTTCACAATTTCCGGGACAGTATCTTCCTTGCTTGGTGATGGCAGGCTGCTAAGGGTCTTTCCCCGGCATGGCTGGTCACTTGTTTAGTGGGTGGTTGATTCGAACACTTTCTGGCTCAGTCCAACTCATGTGCCTGGGGCGGGCAGGTCACATATCAGGACACGAATCTGGGATGCATGGTTTGGGTTATGATCTTGAGCCACAGCAGGTTGTTCCTACTAAGTCTAGGTGGATGGAGCTGGTAGTTTAGGCAATGTCGTACTCTATCTGCGTAAGACATGGAAGAATATGTGGGAGGTATTTGTGTGTCCAGTGTTTGGGAATCAGGAGATATTATACAGACTTATGCTTTTCTCTCTTCAAATGTACCGCGGTGATGAGGGGATGCTTCGAAGAAAGCGTGAGTCGTTTCCCACATGTGCAGTTGTGCATCTTGGGTGATAACCTAGCTTTTCTAACGGGAAGGCAACAGAGACGCTATTTTTACACCAAGGCCTCCTCCCCACTTCTTCCATGATCCGCGTACAGTAGCTGCAGTCGTTTTAATGCCGGTTTCTTTGGGGTTTCTGGAAGCTGCTAAGGGGAAGGATTCATCCTGGAAAGATATGGGGCTCCTTTATGTTTGATTGTGGCAGCTTTGGGAACTCAATTTTGTCATGAGGCGTTCCCGATAGGATTGCAGAGACAGCCACAAAATCCTCACCTGTCTGTGTGTGTGTGTGCTCCTATGTTTCATTCTGGCGTTTCATCTGCAGCCTATGGAGATCTATGTGGACGACGAAGCAAAACTCACCCTGCACGGACTTGTTCAGGTAAAAAAAAGAAAAAAAAGAAAAAAAATGTAATGCGGATGTAAATTCCTTTTTGTAATATTTCAGTATATTTTATTTCCTGGTACGATGACAGTTGGTATATCTTTTCACCCGCTCTTACAATGTAATTTTCATCGTACACAGCATTATATCAAGTTAGGTGAGGTCGAGAAGAATCGGAAACTCAACGACCTTCTGGACGCTCTAGATTTCAATCAGGTGGTGATCTTCGTCAAAAGCGTCAGTCGTGCTGCAGAGTTGAATAAGCTTCTGGTGGAGTGCAACTTCCCTTCCATCTGTATCCACTCTGGCATGTCTCAAGAGGAACGGTGAGGATCTTTCACATTTTCTGCTCTCTGTTATGTCTTGTTCCAACTATCATTTCTTTCTTTTAGTCGCTTTCCTCCAATATTGAGTGCGACATTGTATTGGTTGTTGAATTGACGTGACAGTCAATTACTCTGACAGATTGACACGGTACAAAGGTTTCAAGGAAGGGCACAAGCGTATACTTGTGGCAACTGATCTTGTGGGCCGTGGCATTGATATCGAACGTGTCAACATTGTCATCAACTATGATATGCCAGATTCTGCGGACACATACTTGCACCGAGTAAGTTGTCCTCGAGCTCTTTTTTGTCTTTGCAGTACTTGTTTTAAGTGTGCCTTGCCCTGGAATCCTGACGGTAACCCGTCGAGCAGGATATTGCTTTTTGTCTCCTGTTTTTACTCAAGTGTGGTGCCTCATGAAAGTATAGACTTGAGTAGTTGTTTCCTCTTTGTAAACCCATCTATATTGCTGTTCAGGTCGGTAGAGCAGGTCGATTTGGAACGAAGGGACTTGCTATCACCTTTGTGGCCTCGCCTTCTGATTCTGATGTCCTCAACCAGGTACTGAGTAATTTCCTCGATTTGCTTACATCATGAGCGTTAAGATGTTAAATCAGTAATTTGTTTTTTTATTATTTTTTCGCTACGTGATGTGAGGATGCATTTTGCTTACAGGTGCAAGAGCGCTTTGAGGTGGATATTAAGGAGCTGCCTGAGCAAATCGACACAACTACCTACAGTATGTTGTGTTTAAGTTGATCTTCCAATTGTATCGATACCCTAAAATTGATTTACTGCTATAAGCTAGGTTTATATGAGTTTTTTACTCATCACACTGACTTACGTCTATATGACTTGCAGTGCCATCATGATGTGGAGCGAAGTCTGGCTCTGACGAGTAGGAAAAGCTGGCTGGCTGTTGAGGTCCTGAATCAGCAACCACTGATATAGGGTGGCGATCGTTAGTTTCTTTTGGAGTGTTGTAGTAGCGGATTGTGCAGATGATAGCTCCTGCGTTCTCTTGTTTATTCAGATTGGATATAATCTACTTTTTGCTTCGGCTGGAGCAGTGACACGTGCTTCGCCTTCTGTATGCCTCAAAGGAAATCCAGAAAAAGTTGTTGAAAATGCTGATTTTCGTACTCTAGTTTTTTACACCGTATTCGTACATAAAAAAATTGACGTCTTCTACCAATGGAATCTTAGTCATATCAATACACCGTGTCTACAGTTTTCGTATTCAAATTGTTTTCTTCAATACCCATCACTGAATCTAACCTCTATTTCAGCCCCAGTGCCCGTATCTTCGGTAAGAGTTGTCTGCCACCAGGATCTACCAGCGATAGCTCACGCCTATCCTCTAATTAGAAGCGGGGAACAGTGAGCGGGTCACAGTGATGAACATTTCTTTCGATTCCTTTTCTGTTTAAAAACCTGCCGAATTCGGGTTAAGATAACATGCGAATTTGACGTCCCTTTGAGGGTGGCTGCATCCAAACGGTCAACCTTTGAAGTATCGGTGTGATGAATCCGTCAGCCTCGCATCAGCATGACGGATGCACAAGCATCGATGCCGACCTGTTACCGCCGAAATGGCTCAACGTTCCCTCTTGGGGCTCGACGCGGCGCAAGGGCATTTTTCTATATTGATGCTGTGTCTAATCCCGAGATTGTTCCTCATTGTGGTGGTGGACAGTTGATCTTGTAAGTGGGTCGTAAGCCTCGGAGGCCTAGAAGTGAACTGGGGCCACCTGCAATGATTTTCGCATTTGAGAGCCTTACGGAGAATGCCAGACAGGCATGCATAAACTTAGATGTCGCAGTGACGCACCTCATGTGCTGCTACGCAATCCCAGGGTCTCCTTGTAAAGGATTGAGGCTCCAGGAATTAGGGTATTTTGACCAAAAATAAATCACATACCATGACTTTCAAGCCAAGCACTTTAGCATAGATTCCTGATTAAAAACTGAACAAAATAACCGTTTTACCTTGAAGAGCTTGTGAGCGTTTTTTAAATTTTTTCCCTTTTTTTCTTTTGCCAATAATTATGAGCATATTTATTATAAATTTTAAAGTTCTAACATTGATTTAGGGTGTCTTTATACCTAAAACCCACCTTTGACAAGCTCTAAACGAATAGAACAATAAAAGTTTTCTACTTGGTGAAGAAACGTATTCAATAAAAATAAAAATAAAAACTTGTATTATACTTTTTAAGATAGTACAAAGTGAGAAGAGCCATGGAATGAACCAAATTACATTTTCTATAATAGTGCAGTTCGAAACTGAATGTGGATAATATCAGTATCTGTAAATTAGGCCAGTTGGAAAAAATGACCAATTCTAACAGTTACGTAAAATAACCATTTTTAAATTTATAAACATGTTTTGCCAATTCCTGACATTTACTTCATAAGTTTCTATAAAAATCACTTTGTAAGATGAACCTGACCCAAATTATGGGAAACAACACCATTGAGTATATTCAGTACAAAAACATACCTTATATTCTTATATTCTCCTCTCACAGCCTTAGAGCTAGTTCCACTAACTTCAAAAGCAACTAACCAAAAATTAATTAATTAATTAATTAATTTATTTTTCTCAATCTTATCAACTCACAAGCTTTGAAAGGCGTGCCTTCATAACCCTCTTTCCAATCTTAAAGACCCTCTTCCTTTACTCTTCATTTGTTTTCATTTCCTATTCATTTTTCACCTTTTCAACGAAAAAAAAAAAAAAAAAAAAAAAAGTGTTTGCAACATCGTCTTCTAGAGTTAGAGTAAGATATGTTTATCTTCTGAATCTTCGGAAGAATTCATGACAGTTGGTTGGATGTGAGCGGAAAGCATCGATCCAGCGAAACTTTAGAGAAGCGGAGGCCTAAAATTGGAAGAACCGAGGACAGAAGCGGAGGAAGAAGAGTAACAAATGTGTCGGGTGATGCTGCAATGAATCGTATGAAAGTGGGTTTTTTACCAAAATATGCTGACAAATGATATAAAATTAATGCATTTCGGAGTGAATGGTGGAGTCGTGTACAAAACGAGGATTGCGGGACAGGTACAAAGCGGGGTGCTTCACCGTGCAATGCATTGCTGGGGCATGGCGGAGGAACACGGGACTAGGTTGACGAAGATTGGGAGAGCAACAACATGACAGTTGAGGAAGCGTTGTTGTTGGTTGGAGATTGTTGTTGTAGAGAGCCACCATGATTCGAGGGAGGTGGGTCGCTTGTGAGTACAGGACTCATGTGTCGGTAGCGGACAGGAGGAGGATCTCCAGCGCATTTTGTGGCGCTTCGCGAGTGAATGGTGCACATTGTGCATGGAAACCTGCGACTCGTGGTACAGGATACTCTGATTCTGCAACTCTTGTGATGGAGTGTTTTTTGTGGGCTTTGATTCTTAGGGTTGTGCCCAGTGTACACGCTTCTATTGAATGGGTTTGTGTTCTCTTTTTGCAAACAGATACAGTATGGTGTTTTTATCGATGGGTTCTGCGCTGCTGCCAGTTTATCTCATGGATAGCTCGCGACTTGACTGTTTTTTTGGATTCATCTCTGAGTTGCTGGCCTAGTTGCTTCGTTTGTGCAGCAAGCGTTGTCACGAGAATCGAGCTGTTCGATCAGCTGAAATTGAGGGTTTCTCGAAAGGAGGCATCCGTTTTACCCAGCTTCGTTTCCGCCTGCAGTATGAAAGACCGCTTGGAGGTTACGGACGTTACATCGCAAGCGTTGGTAAACCAATCGAGTACGCTATTCAAGGAAGTCTGCATCAATCCGAAGGCCCTCTCTGCCGAAGCCGCGGAATTCATGCTGAGTGTGTCTGCTTCTCAAAGCGTTATCTCCAAAGAAGAATCCGAAGACGCTAGTTACGCTGACTTAATTCTCCAAGGAGTTCATCCCACGAGCTTTGGAACAGTTTTGTTGGTATGCACAGTCACAATGTTTGCTACTCCCGTTGAGGAGTCGGACATTGAGAAAGCGCGCAGGAGGGCGTTGATTTGGAAGAAAGCTGTCGGGCCGCTTTTCTCCGTTTTGCCTGTTGTGGCCGGCTATGACCTTCCGCCAGAGATTTCCGCCATTTCCAAGGACTTCGGTGTTCTCTGCTTCGATGTAAGTAAGTAATCCGTAGAAGCTTTGTAGAAAGAGAGAGCTCATGTGCTTTGTCTATTGATGGATAAATTCTGACTGCAGCCAACGGGTTTTAAACCATGTGGGACTTTAAATTGTTGGGAAATGGAAAGTCCCACATTGGGTGGAATTCCTTCATAGCAATAAAACCCTTTGGTCTTTTTCTTGTTTAGCTTTTTGCAAGCCTCACATCAATCTTGTTTCGGACCAAAAACCCGGAGCCTTCCTGCTTCATCTTCTAGTTCAACTTGGGATTGATTTCCTCACTGCATGTTGATTCTCTTGAAACGATACTAGCTGCTGCTTCCAGTTGAGTTGATACAGCTTTTTTTCTTTTCCTGTCCTCATGTTTTACTGTCCATTTCCCAGAGAATTGAGGCTCTACCAAATCTCCTGCTCCTTAATATGCACTGAATGTGGGTCGAGGCCTCATCTTTGCTCACCAGTTTCAAAATACACACAACTCTGTTAATACCCCGCAGAATGAATTCGGCTGCAACTTGGAAGTTTGCTCTATCTAGACCGAAAGAGCCTTTTGTGGTTTTAATGCGACGCAATGTCTGTAATGAAGCTTATTATCTCGATCTGTTCGTAGCAATCTAGTGCAACGTATTCGACTTATAGAAAGAGAGTTGATGGAGTAGGCTGGTTGTACAACATTTATTGGCAAAACCGGGCAAAACTATTCCAACATCTTAAATTTTTGTCTCTGTAGTTGTAGGCTGGCAATTTGAACCTTGTTGCAAATGGCAATTTGAGTAAATTGTGCTTTGTTTTTAAAGTGGTTTTTACACCTAGAAGTCCATTGTAAAAAGTCATGGTTCAAAAGCAGTATCAAAGATTCTCATTTAATGAAGAAAAGCCCTCCTTTGGAAGCCTTTGGATATACTGTAATGAGAAGAGGTTGTAAAATGAATACAATCATTTCTTTATTACAAGTCTAAATGTGTCAACTCATATCTTTATTTTAACAATTATAAAGAATATATATATATATATATATATATATATATAGTTCTAAAAATTATTTTTAATGGTTATTTGTAGCATTTGGGACATAGCTTTTTTTTTAAAAAATAACATGTTTATTTGAATTAAGCCAAATGGAAATTCCAAAAGAAAATACTATCTAAATTATACAAGAAAAATATATTCTACCTCAATTTTTCCTCTTAAGGTTTTCAGGTTGAATCTTTCTAAGTGTAAAACTAACTCATAGAGTCTTCTTGATGTTCTATTTAAAGTATTAAAAATTAAAAAAAAAATTACTCTATTTTTATAAGACAAAAAACCTAAACTAAATAGAATTTAATGATATAAAATAGATTAATGATTTTTTTAAAGAAAATATACTTGAGGTTGAATAAAATTTTCTTTGGTTGTAGGTTAGGTGGTTTATGAGTTTTTATTTTTATTCTATTCTTGTGAATTATATATATACATATTATAATTTTTTTATATGATATATAATTTTTGACCATTTAAAATAATATATAAGAAAATACATTGTAGACTAATTTTAAGAAATATTAAACGTTTTACAAAAATATAATTTAATTAAATAAACTATACTTTGACTTATTAATGAAAAAGTTTATAAGTTAAGAAAAGAAATTAAAATTTCAATCAATGCCACGATATAAAAAATATAGGATTACTATGATTAGAATCTCTTTTTATAATTTCCACTTTGATATTATACGTCTACTAATTATATGGAATATATACCCTAGGTTGGCACTGCATTTGACCTAGTGTTTGCTATATTTGGTGAGAAATTTTAAATGGGTGTAAGGGGAGAGGAGGGCTGGAAAAATCCCATCCTAAGAAACCCCTATTTTTACCCTAAATTCTCATCTTGAACCATGACAACCTTTCCTAGTGATTGAGTACTTAACATTTGTTTATTTTTTATTTTTTAATTAGTCTTCTAAAGAAGATCTAATCTGATGTTTTTAATGAAACTCAATTGGCTGCATCAAGAGTGATTTAGTGTTGCAATGCAATTCACAAGCTTTTACCAAAATTATGCATCAAAGGACCTTGACATTGAGGAAAGTTTTGCTCTACAGAATCAAGTATCCTGAACACGCTGCATCAATCACAAAATACTGTAGATGGAGGACAAGGTGGCAAGGAATGGGGAACAAGAAACAAAGGCCAGGAACAAGAGATAGAGATGGGGATGGATGGAATCAATCATGAGATGGCAAAGGGAGGTCTGGCTTTAACAACTCCTTATATAAATATATATATATATATATATATATATTGATTGTTTGAGCATACTTAATGTTTGAGAACTTTTAAGTTTGTTATATCCTTTAAAAAATATTTTTTATAAAATTAAATAAATTACATGAATGAAAATAAGAGTATATTTGTTGTGTGTATAAAAAGTTATTATTGTTGTATTTTGAAATTATTTTTAATTAAAAATATTAATTAATTTTCTTATCATACTATTTTATAATACAATTTATCTTATTTCATATTATCAAAATTTATATATTTTAATAATAAAAATTGTAATAAAAAATCAACGCATTATATATTGCATTGCAAAAATAAAAGAAAATTTTGTTTTATATTTTATATTTCTTTATCTCTATAAATAAATAAATATTGGATATTTCTAATTATTTTTATAATTTTTAAAAAATAATAAAATAAACATATTAAAAATATTAACAAATATCTTTATTAAAATTAAGAAAATTGAAGAAACATATTGAGTAAGTAGTAGATTGTAGCAACATTCTACCTATTATATAAGACAACTTGGATATAACACAAAGAGACAAAGAAGTCTTTTGATTGGCTATGAAGAAGAGAACTTGGACAACACAGGAACATAAGAATCAAGGAACATAGGAATGTAGGAATGTAAGTACTAGAGAACATAGAAACAAGAAATCATGGATGAACAAGGAAATAGATGGATATTCTAGAGATTGTAGTGCCCAATGGCATAGGTTTTTGCGAGTAAATAGTAGATGTAAATATAATATATAGTAAATAATTTATATTAAATATAATAGATATAAGTTTTTTATAATTATTGAGAATTTTCTAAGATTTAAAATGAAATATTTATTTTATATAGAATATTATTTGTCATTACAAAGGGATGTTTTTACTTAGAGAAAAAGATGAGATGGAAGGCACTTTTCTCTTATATGGCATGAATAGTGTTGTCTTCCAAATTTTGTGGTAGGTCCACTTTAAGAGGATTTTTACAAAATTTTGTGAAGTTATATCAACAACTACTAAAAATAGAAATTAGAAAATAAGAAGTTAACTATTAAATGGTTGTCATAATTATTACAAGCAAGATATGAGTTGGCATATTTAAGATCATGACAAAAGAATGACTTCGTTCACTTCATAGATTCTTCTCAATTTATACTATCTTTATAGACCAAGTCTTCAAAATAAATGTTTCCCTTTACTAATCAAGGGACTCTTTAGGAGTTGTATACCATTATATTAAATTATTAATTATAATTATAAAAATGAATGTGTACTTTCAATATTAAATAGAATTACCTAGTAATGTGATTCACTAACTTGATTAGTATTTTGTTTGAGAAGTTATTACATTATTGTTGAATTGTTTCTGAATGAACTTTTGATAATTTAATCCAGATAAATTAGCAATCAAATAAAGGTCTTAACAGTCCCCAAAATCTACCATCAGGTAACCAGGTGGTAACTAATCACGATTAAGTTTAATAGTCATGATTATTGTTTCGAAACTTAATCAAAATATCAGTCAACGACACAAATGTCATTTATCTAGTAATTTGCCGCTGATCTTTGAAATTAGATCCAATCTTTAAGAATATATATGTATATATATAAACATTTCACGACACATTTAGACTGGAAAACACCAATTCATACTAAAACTTATGGATTAAAATTTCTCAATTCATTGCTTGGATTGGTGCTGTAGAACCATGATAAGTCTACCCATTAAAACTTATGCAATAGATCTGCTCTAGTCAATCAAGAATTTTGAAAGTTTGGTACCATCATCTGCAAAATAGTGATTGCATTCTGGTGGGTGTATAACCATATATTACTCCTTGGACCAAATGAATTCATCTGAATACCTTCAGTTCAAAACGGGCACCAACCTGAGTATTTAACACGGTTTGAAAAAACAATAATAGGGGACTAGGCCAATAGAGCAAACCCCACTTTTCAATAGAAACATAATCCTCATGCACAACCAGATGTACGAGTCACTAGAAATGTTAGACACAGAGCCAATGATGGGTACTTTTCTCATGGAACCGTAGCGTACATTTCCATCAGATAGGTCTAAAGAATTCTGCCACAAAATCTAACCGATCCAGGCACTCAAATAAATATGTTCATTCAAATGGTGTAAAACTCAAACTGTAAGTTCTCCGCAGTCTGGTGTACAATTTCGTAAGGTAACTGACAACTGAAATGGAACCCATTAGGGCAATTCACTATTAACTAAAATGGTACACAAAAGCCAAATCGGAACCTTGCATCAAGCAAGGCTGGTCAACAGCAATAATTCCGGTATCTTGCCACTACTCATCGAAAAATCAACTGTACAAGATGTTAAACAGATTGGAGGAGTAGACTCCAAAGCATTCACAACTAGTCACCAAATAGCTCGTGACTAGTCCAAAGTCCAACTAATTCATGGCTTGGCGTCGGAAGATTTACTTAAAACGAGAGATTGCTCCAACTCGGCTATGTCCGCGAGGGCAGTTTTACACAGTCCTAGTCTTCATCCCAAGGACCATGAAACACAGTCTCGCGAGTCTTCAACCAATGTATGCACTCTTTGTTCAGCTTGGTTTTAGCAACAGCCGCATCCAACATCGGGCTACCAAACAGGCCTCTATCACTTTTGAAGTTCCACAACTCGGGAGTAAATTTCCGCGTCCATTTTTTCTGTGGATGAGTCTCCTGCGCATGCATCATAGTTTTTCATTGTTACGTAGATAATACCAAAAAATAAGACGAGCTTACGAAACAGCAAAACATGAATATAGACAGCTTAACAGAATAAAAAAGAAAGAAAAAGATCCAGACACAACAAGAAAAAGAAGTGTATGACACTAGTTCTGATTTACTCGTAACCAGCTGAACTCTGGACTGTAAGAAACCGAAATATAAAAAAAATATGATGCGCTACCATGTGCAAGATCATCCTTTTGCGATCTTTATCGCTGTATCCACACCGAAAGTCATGTTGAATGGTTCTTGCGTAGCAAGACGAAATATCCGGAAGCATAAGGCATCCACGGCGGTCCTGAACCAAACTCGCTCCAGGATCCGCTGAAGTTTGTCGGAACCATGAAATCAATTGACCCCAAATATAGTTCTTGCTGTAGCTCTTGCGCCACATGTATGGCCCCGCGCCTGAATGTTTTGGACCCAGATCACATGCGTATATTAAGATAGGTGGAGAATCAACCATCCCATAATCCTGTCGAGCAGAAAACAGAAAGTAATCGTTAATCATAAGCAAAATTCTAGAAATATCAAACTGATCAAATATTAACCCCCGAGGACTTCACAATGATGCTCAAAACTATGGATTCTGTTAAGGACGTCCTACAATAATAGCGAGGAAAGAAACTCACGTAGTTTGTGAAGAAGTGCTTGGTATATGCATAGAGGTGTATCAAATCAGCCGCTGCATCGTGACGACCCATACAAGTTGCTGGAACTTTGCGAAGAGTATCCCTCAACCTGGTTGCAAGAACAAATATTCAGTCAAACAAGCTGAGCAAATCGGTTCTTAATTGATGAAGTATGCAAAGTAGAAAAAGTCGAGAATAAGAAGTAGATGTGCTACCAGAGTAGAGACTTCCGAAGATTTTCTTCTATATCCCCTCCAGGAGGTGGGTTGTGCTCCTGGATTTGTTTAGTCAAATCTGCCAAACCTTCCGGAGAATGGAGGGCCATACATTGAAGAAGTTCTCCAACAATTGAGTCCTTTCCCGTCCATATGCATTTCACCAACTCATGAGGCTCAAGCATCCGTAAGGGTGGAGGTGCCTTGCTTGCCTCCTCACCATACAGTTTGACCAATATATGACGAACCTGAGGAAAGCGAGGACTCGAAATTATTTTTCCATGATATCAACTTTTTCAAAAATACAGATTAAAAGAATATAGCATGATCTGATAGCGCACTACAAACTGCACTCTTTTCATATGCATCCATTCTGTGTCCAACGAATTATCTTAATTTGAAAAGAAACAATCTAGAAAAATTTAACAATAAAACCTCAGATTGTACATTCATTCACAGGTTAAAACGATCTTCAACTTAAAAAGTGCACAAAACATTACTCCACAAAGTACAGAAGTTAAGGAAAGTAATACATACATACATCCATCCATACATACATACATCCATACATACATGCATATGCATACATATATAGATGTGTGTGTGTGTTCCCTCGTTAATCAACAGTACATCCAGGAGCAAATAATCCACGTAAAAACTAACCTTATCCAAGGTAATGGCAAGATTCTGAAGCCGTTGATTGTAGACTCCCTCAGTCTTCAAGAGATCACAAAGCAGCCACAAGAAGTTCAGCAAATAAACGACGGGTAAAGTGAAATGAATATCAAAAGGATTGATATCGTGCAACAAATGTATCCACCAGAAATATGAATAATAAAGAAACTTAGGGGTACTGGTTATAATCCAAACCTGAACTTCAATGTCCTGTCTATCGATATCGATTCCAGTTTGTTTCAGCATCTCAGCTTTCATAAGTTCATCGGGAAGCCGTTGCCGTTCAAAATTCAGATATGAAACCTGAACAAAGACCATCAAAGTCATAGTTGTAACTCAAGCCCTGTATATACCCTGATCTATTCGAAACCAAGGCAAATCTCATGAGACACGAGTAATTCCATTTTAAAAATAATACCCTCATAATCCAGGATTTGGCAGTAAAGATTGCACGAATATTTTCCAAGTTCGTGAGTCGAGTTAACATATAGATTCAGATACATCCACATGACAACAAGTCTCCATAGACGTTAGCAACTTGACAGATATATCAAATAAGGATCACAAAGTTACGTACAATTCCGGCAGCATATTTGATGACCCACTGTGGAAGTCCATCCAGCAAACATGGTCCAAGACCAGCCTGCTTGAGATCTTCCTGCTCTCGGAAAGTCACTGCCCCACTTGTGCACGCCTGCAGTAAGAGATTGTGGCGGTCAAGGATGCCATGGTACTCCTTAAGTACCTGCGCAATATAACACGTCTCGTATCAGATAAATGATATTTGAAGCAAAAACAAATAGTTCCGATACACCTGATTACTCCCAAATGAGATGAAATAGTTAGAAAGTGTTGATGCCTCCACCTCAAAATGTCATTAGTTTCTATATCGATAAGGCACTAACCTCATCATACGCTCCAGGTCCTGTATAGCATAAGTAGCTGCCCTTGCAACCCTGACTTCCACAAAGACAAACAGAAGAATCGTGCTCCTCCTTGCTCTACACAATCCAACAATTCCAAACCAACACAGGTAAGAAGATAGTACGTTAGCAGATGCATACGACTGCTGAACACTACAAACGATACAACTCAAACGAGCGAAATTTCATGAAATCACATACCTCGGTAACACAACAATAGTCGAATGTAAGCTCCTCTCCAAACTCAATCTTGCGCAGTGTATAGACACCTATCATATACTTCCCATTTACAGCTGTGACCCTGCTCCAGAAGACGGCAATGAATACGGTTCTTCATTTTAACCAATACAAAAAGCTAATTAGTTTCATTATTATATTTAGAGTGTTACTCATCATGCAAGAAGTGTTTAATTATGATAAAACCTGTGCAGGACAGCGACCTGGAATAGAATGAATACATATGAAAAACCATTCAAATGAGCGAACTTGAGAAAATGAGTGATTCAAAAATTAGGTTAAATTAGTAAAAATAATTGCCTGATACTCACTTAGCCTCACAGTTGGGTCGGCACGAGTGACATAGTCGACTTGCAAAATTGGCTTTATGCATTGCATCAACTACCAAGACGTCGTAACCTAATGAATCACCCTGCAAAAAAAAAGCTTGTACGTCAGACCATGGCTCAAGCAAACGGGACAAGTAATCGAAAGTTTTACAAAAGTTCACCAGTTAGAAATCGACCAAAAATGTGAACATTCATAGAGTACCTTTGGTCGCTCAAACACTATGTTGTAAAATTCTGGCGCTGGCTCCTTCTCCTTCTTCTGTAATGCTCTGATTCCATCTTGCTTCTCGTACCATCTCCAAGGTGGATATACCTTTAGATTTTACGGGATCGTTAGTATACACTTGCATAGAAACTAAAGAAAACAGCATCTAATTGTCATCAGAGTTTTCTGTCGAGTATAATGATAGTCAGAGAGACTACAAAAAAACATTTTTACAACAATCAGCAATTACGTTCATAATTAATTAGAAATAATCAAAGATTGGTACTCTGTTCGACAAATAAAAATAAATAAATAAATAAATAAAAAAAAAAAAAATGGCACAGGAATTGCTAAAAAAAAACCGAACGAACGAACGAACGAACTTAATAAAGGGTAGATAGTGAAGTGAAGTAGATAGAAGAAGATTACAAAGAACAAGAAGAAGAAAATATGTATGATTAGAAATACCTCTCCAAAGAATTCTACAACAAAGTCGCCGTCGTCAAAACCTTCTGGTTTATTGCACACAACACCAAGGCCCTGTTCACCGCAAAAAATTCATCAACTTATCAATGAATATAGAAAGCATAACCATGAGTGCAAAGTAGAAGAATAGTAGCAGCATGAGGCCAGATGGTTAAACCGTATACCTTTCTGTAAGCTACATATTTATCATTAAGATGGCTTTTCATATTCTTCAATAAACTTCTGCAGAATACTTGCAGAGGCTGATCCGCATGCACATCACTACAAATGTGTGATATGACTTTCTCAAGAGAATACTCCATAGGGGCTTTCCCACTCCCTGTAAATGAACTGACTTCTCGATTTAAAGCCCGCAACAACTTCTGTAACATATCAAGTGAACAATCTTCATCACTAAAAGCCTGGTACAAATGATTGCGAGCAAAACTATGCATGATTGCAGATAGCCGTGCTAAAAATATAACAAGATATTCTATTTGCATATTAAAAGATTAGCCAGTGCTGTTGGGACACAATATACCAACACGATTGGAACACTTGCCCAATGAATAAAAACCCTAGAAAAGAATGGATGTAAAGACTAAAAATGTAATGAAATAAGACAAAATATAGACCATAAACTTTTTCACACCCGTTGACCATTCAGATGAAAAGTCCCTGTAAACAATTTTAACGATAGTAACAACTATGAATTGGAACTTTACTGCAGATAACACACAAAGAGAAGTATAAAATAATATTTATGATCTAGATTTTAGCTTAGTAATTTTTTTATCCAAAAAAAGTGTAGATAGCAGTCACAAACAGAAAACGAACCTCTTCGATGAAGAGTTGTTTCTGCTTGTCCGTAAATGATTCAGTGTCGGCCGGCATAGTATTGAGTAATAAGTTGTACGTATATGGATCAATTCCATAAACCTCTTGCTCCAAAACTTCTTCGCCCAACCGCTTCCGAGGTTTAAATTCCTTAAGTTCGGGAACATCCAAGTGAGCAAACCGATCGCCGCCTTTCTTTGCCACCCGTAACTTCTCTTCATAATCATCTGGCAGTTCAACCTTCCGTCGGAAGTTTACACTTGTCATGTCACAATAATTCTACTTAAATACCAATTACTAAAACGAAGATGCAAAAGCAGGTGCACTAAAAATTAATGTGCCGTTTAAGCACATTCTCCGCAGGCGCCGGACAGAATATCACACTGATGTCCCGAAGTTGATACATCAAACACGAACAAAATGCGAATAGTTCTTAGATCCCTATTTAGTTTTGTATCATCGCACACTACCCTATAATTTTTGTCTTTCTAATTAGGGAAAAAATTTATAGGCTTCTGAGAATGAAGACAAAATGGAAACAGAACAATACCATACAACAAAGTATAGCTTCACCTTGAACATCCTAAGGACTCACTAGAAATCTTCAAAAATAAATAAATAAATAAATAAATAAAATATAAAAAACTTACCTTCATCTTGGCAACCACCCTTTCATAATCGTCAACAATCCGGTACTCCTCGATCACTTCATACTTGCGTGTCAAAGGAGGCACCATGGCTGCTTTAGTCATCCTAGCTCCCCACCAATCTCGACTACTCCCTTCTCCACCATAACCGGAATATGCATCATCGCTCTCTGAACCATCGTTGTAGTCATCCATAGCCTCATCTGCTATTCCAGATTTGCTGGCAACATCCGACCTGCAAAATTCTCAATTTCCCAAGAAATGAATACACGAATCCTCACTATAAGCCATAAATTTAAGCAAATCACCCAAGTACTCGGCTAGAATATCCAGAAGTAACTCATAAGGAAAGACAGGAATGCAACTTAACCAAATCAAATAATCAAATGTTCTTAGAAGCTTTAGCAGGACATGTTTGAATTAACACAAGTGGGCAAAAGGTATGTACCCTGAGGTCTCTGTGTCCTCCTCCTCCGGTTCATCATATAAAGCTTCATCAATGTCCTCTTCGTCAGAACTTTCTGCTTCTGATTCGGTCCACTGGTTCCTTCTCATCCTTTCTCTGCGAGACTCTCGCTCATCTCTATCAATTGATCCTTGCAAGTCAGAGTCCTTACTGGCTATGTCCCCATCTGATCTGATATTAGCAAAGCTTAATACCTTTCTCTTGACAAAGCGGGTCCCCCCTGTTTCTGAATCCCAAGATCGCTTTGAACCACGCTGTTTCTCAACAGCCAGATCTTTTGACCCTTTCGACTTGGAGAGAGTGCGTGTCGAAGTAATACAACTGCTAAGAGCCTTACTTTGACCATCAGCGAGCTCTCTGTTCTGAGATTTTGAGAGTAATTTATCCAATTGTTGTCCCACTTGGTGTGCAACCTTGAATAATCGTCCTGCTGTCTTATACATAAGAGAGTCATGTTCCAATCTGCACAAACGTGAAGACATTACATCAGATGAAGCCCTCAAAACTAGGAGTAAATAAGACCCTTTCCTGCCTTCAATCTGTCACGGTCAGCCATAGAAATACAACACAATTTCAAATACACACAACAAAGGTATTTTGAAAAACCAAGAGATGACACGCGCTGTTAACTCCAAGGCATAAAACAAGGATAAAATACCTGAAGGCATTACGGAGAGGTTGGAGAAGATCCTCCTTGAATGATTTTACCCCATCTTTTCCTCCGTAATGACCCATTTTCAGCTTTTTCTGCACAGAACAAAAGTCTGCTTGCGCTGGCTTGGTAAAGGCTCCTCTCCCCTCGGACACTTGCTCGTTTGCCTAAAAATAGAAGGCATGTTCACTTTAATGAAGAGCAAAGAAGAGCTAAAAAGTAAATCATATAAATTTAAATATTTAGATATTCCTGAGATTTTACCATTATCCAACATGTAGGTTCATAAATAGGCATTAAAGAATCGAGATCACCTACAAGCAATACATCAATTCCTCATTAGCTTACTAAAGTTCACTATGACCAGACGATCTGAGGATAATTTATTACAATTTCTATAGAATTTGAGAAAAAAGGACTAGACACTAAGCCATGTACCTATCACTTTCACACAGAGAAAGGCATCACTTTTTGTCAGTAGCAAAACCATTTAACCATTTCACCATTTAAGGGGAATTAAGGACACGCAATTTGAAGTACCAAGCGGTAAAAGACATGTTCGGAGTCAGCTTCCATGACAACTCTGAGCGCCTTCGCCAGCGCTTTATCAAGATCCTTCTCCGCATTCTTAAAATTTGATAAAACTTCCTTTCCGGTGTTGTCAGGTTTTTCACTAGAAACTGCAGCTTTCGTTAACGAACTTCGAACACTGAATTGCGTCTTCGTGGTTAGCTTGCTATTCAGTTTCCGCTTGCCCACACTGTGTTTGCCAGGACTAACGCCAAAGCCATTGCGCACTCCGTTCACAGCATTTGATTTGAGTCTCTTGGAATCTCGAGATGGATATCCCACTTGCAACGCGTCTACATCCTTTAATAGCGGATCGAGGGTGTGAACTACCCTGCGGATGATTCCTGGACTTTCGCTTTCTTCTGTACTTTTATCTCGATAACCAGTCTCGTCTAAAGAACATCCACTGTTGACATCATCTCCAAATTCGCGCTTGATACCACTGCTCTTGGGATTCGTTTTGTTATTCTTCAAATTATGCCGTTGAGATTCAAGACCATGAGGAATGGCAAATGGATTACCAACCCAACTTACTTGAGGATAAAGTTCGACCAACTCACTTAGCTGCACACAACCACTAATTGAAACTTCACGGATTGAGGGATAAGACTTCAGCAAGCGCCCAAGTGCTTTAGAGCTCACATTCAAACAATAGTCCAATGTTATACGCCTCAACTTTCCCCCGCCAAAACCCTGCCACACAAACATGGATTGGTCACAGATAGATAAAACGAATAACCTGCAAGTAATACGACCCATTTTGACTCATACCTCACACATACTCTAGCCAAAAGAATAATGAAAGCGTACGGCAACACAAACGTAAGGCAAATATTAATCATCTTGACCAAGTTTAGGTCAGAGGCCCCACAATTTTAATCCTTGCAATCTGATTGAATATCACAATCAATCACTGATCACCTAAAACTGGCAAGATGCGCTACTGACGTAAACAAGCTACGCAAATTACTTCCAATTGTACAAGCAACAATAAACCACTTCAACAAGATACATACCAACAAACCACCAATAATTGCATCATTACAATGCGATCCTAACCCAGACAGGTCAACATGCTTGGTGGACATTCTGATGCTTTGAGCACAATTCTTCCATGACTGGCAAGTGGCCATAGCTGCAACAAGTGATTTGGGATCGCCCCGCAGCAAGCGCAAAACTTTCGTCAATATTCTAGGTGGTAGCCATGCCCGTCCAGTCTGTGACGAACTTCCTCCTGCGTCCAAGTTTGAGTGCTTTCCGTGCACTGCACCTGTTTCAGATGTTTCTTGATCAGAAGGAACTTCTTTTGCCTTCTTCTCTGCAGATGTAGCCATAGTTGCATGAACAGCCACTTGTGACGCTGTGCTGCTGCTTCCATCCAACTCAACCACAGACATATGGGGTAAACTCCGCATGCAGAGTTGCACGTCTTCAGCAGAACGTCCACCATCACTCCAGGAATTATGTTCCACCATGAATGGGCTGCCATCCACATTTGAAGAGATTGTTTCTGTGAGAAGACAAGAGCAACTGTAAGATACTCACCGTGGTCCTGTGTGTCTAATATTAGTACCTCAAAAAAAAGTAAACTAACAAGATTCATTGAATTGGTGCTCAAATGAGATGAAGTTGAACTTATAAGCACTAAACGAAAAAACAGTCCATTGGCACATACCTGAACCCAAAGGAGCACTGTCGGCAGCCTTTTCTTTCCTCATTCGGATAGACTTGGCATTGAAAGGAGAGTCGTCATCAAGAGCCTGACTTGGAGACTGATGGGACTTCAGGGTCTCTACATCCTGCCTGCTATCATTACCAGTCTTAACACCAACCTTTTTCAATCCAGAGCTCCGCTTCATCGAGATTGGACATGCCACATCTACAACGGCACTTGCTGATAGAGCAATGTCTTCTTCCGATGTTGCATCAAGCGACACAACTTCCGGCAGTGCAACCGAACGCTTCGAATTGGACCAGACATCCAAAGCATCATTAAAGAATCCTGCAAAGCTGCCTCTAAAGGATTTCATGGCATGTTCATGTAATTTCCCATTAGTGTACCCAAGAAATTGTGGGTGATCATCATGGAATATCGAAGAACTAACACTTCGCACATCTAACTCCATCAGATCGGGATGAGCAGGATGTGCAGTATGTGCGGGATCCTCACAGGAAATTGCTCCAGAAGGAACAGCGGGCCTCACGGGATATCCGCTTCTCTCAAGAGAATGAGGCAGTGGCTTTGACGCAAAAGCTGGGGCGTGTGCATTATGAAGCTGTATGAGGTGAGAGACCGGGACCCATAGATTGTCTCTTTTCCTAAATACACTTGCTCCAGCAGGCAATCCTCCTTCTGCAACAAATCCCTGTAAAGCAGACATGAGGAATGGTCCCCTCTCATGGCCTGCAGCATCCAAGTAATGCCAGACACCGCTTTCCAGCTGTAACTCGTGCTTTCTTAACACTACTGAGGCGGGGTTCTTGGTGCATTTAAATGCGACAGCAGGAACTTTGCCACTGAACGAGTATAAATCTTGAGCATCACCCCCAGACTGTTGATCCGGCTGTGGAAGAGGATGTGTTAACTCCACAGAATTGCGACCAACGTTTTTGGAGGCAGTATCAGCTACTCCATTGAGCGAGTCGATATCTGAAGTAGTCCCTGGTAGAACAACTTGAGCTGTGACACTCGCAGTGTTCTGGTTTGCTGCAGAAACAGTCCTAGGCAAGGTAAGTTTCGTTTCAGATTTCTTTCTTTTAATGCGCAATTGCCCAGGCTTTCTCCGAGGATTTGTAGTATAGCCAGGCTCTTTCCCACGAGTTCCGGACGTTTCAACTGGAACATTCCCTCCAGCACTGGATTCTTTCGAGGATTTATGAGTAGCAGCAGTACATTTGGTTGGAACGACTTCGAAAGGGCCGCCAGCTTTACTAGCTATTGAGTCAGTCAGAGGAGGGTGCACCGACTGACTATCAACGGTATTTCTCACCTTGTAAACAGCAGCGCAGGCCCAAGCTGGAACCTCTAGTTTTTTGTACTGGGAAACCACGACTCCGTGGATCAGCCTACGAGGATCTAATACTTCAGAATTACCAACCTCACAAAGGCTAACACCCATGTTCATGACCTCCTTTCTAAAGCTTATAACTTTGCCCCCAGGGAGTCCTGCATTTTCAGCCCTCTCTGTCTGAATGAGTTTCCAATCCCCCCCTGCTGTCGGAAACTTCCAACAATTCGTGTTGCTAGATTGTGAGGGCAACTTAGCTCTCCCAGAAGACTTTATAACAGGCTGCACAGCAATTATAGCAGCCTGACTTTCTGCAGGTGTATCGATTCGAACAGCCATTTCCTGCGCCTCCGAGACAGCACAAGGAGCAGTCGATAGTCCTGCAAATACAATTGAACCACCTTCATCACCTTACTTATAACCCAACTCATATTGTAGAGTCCATGTTTGTACTGCACTAATACACTAGCAACAAAAATGAGTTGTAAGTGCACAAGGTAAGGTGAAGAATCAATGCCTAAGCTGTATATTCCGTACTGCTCTCGATGAGCAGCAAACACATTAGAACATTCAAATAAACAAAGAAACAAACCTTTGAAACCCCACATCACACATCCATTAAAGCTGAAAACCATTTCATGTCATAAAAGAAGATGAAACGAGCAACGGACATGTGCCATCCGTTCTAATTTCTTGCACTATGCCAGGGGACTACGATAAGATCCCAGAGTGAACCAGCAGAAAGGGACTCGGCCAGTTTAGATGTACGCCCTCTAAACCTTCAGCACAGCCAACTCTTAACATATATCAACTTAAACCCTACCCACCTTCACTCCCGCACTCGAAGTCATCCTCAATAATTCGCTGTGATGCAGCCATCAGGGCATCTGCGACAAAAGAAGACCTCTGATTTATAAACGCTGTGAAAAACCCTGGAGGGAGCCCTCATACTTAAGTAGAGAGAGTAGAGAACCACACGAACACCTTACTGCCCAAATGAGCAGAGGCGGAGCCTGGCGCAGCCAGGTAAAGGGATCAAACATTCTTAAATGGAACAACCCGCCTAAACAAAATTATTAGGAAAAGACAATGCTCGTAAAGAATTTGTACCTCTGGATAGGAAATGAGTAAGTAGAATGCTAATTAGAAATTCTCACAGCTTTCCATAGCGAACAAAATTTTGATCCCCCAAAAGAATAGCAATTCAAAACAGTTTCCTTTCGTAGCGCCTAATTGAACCAAAGGATATGACTCGGACGGAATAGCATTTGCCTCCGTCATGATGCGTACAAACTCCCCAAAAAGGAAAAATAAATTGTCCACTAATGTCACGATACATACCTGCAACACTGTCTTGCTCTCTGCCTTGAACTAAAGGAAAATTCAGCATCAGCTTCTCCACCCGTGCATCAATATTATACTGTTCCTCGCACATATCTGATTCTATGTTAGCTTCTTCCACTGCCTTCGAAGATTCTTTTACATCAGCGGAACTCACACCCCCCATGTTGTGCGCGTTTGGCTTTCCGATATTGTTGAACCTTTCACCTCCATTCACTAACCCGACGCCAACGTCTGCTTGAGAGGCTGTACAATTTTTCTGAGACCGAGGTCCTACAACCTGTTTCGAGTGCAAAGAAAGCTTTTTTTCTGCCGATGACCACTCATTCGTTCCGTCGTTCCTTATCATATGCTCTGACTGGAATTGCCGTCTCGGAAAAGAACTAGTGTTGTAATTATGCAATGACCCCGCAAACCCTCCAGAGTCAATATTTAGAGCCTCTCCACGTTCATTTGATCTATGAGAATTATTCCGATCAATAGAGTGACGTCCTCCCCACCCTGAGTTCAAATTAAGGTCACGAGCAGGCATACAAGCACCCATATCAGATGAACGCTTAGACTCCTTGTGTTTGTAGGCAGACGGAGTAGAGCTGAGAGCACGACTATTTGCGTTAAAATTAGTAGCACTAGACATTAACTCTCCTCCCGACGAGTTCCAATCACTGTGCCTGTTCAAAGTGTCACTCGAGGCCAAAGGATCCGCACTTCCGTCATTACAGTGGTTCAACTCACCATCCCGATTCCTGACATTGTTACCACCCACAAGACCTGCAGGGCTACTGTTACTCTGCGAAGCACCCCGGTAGACAACTTCCTGTCCAGATTGATGTACATCCTTTCTCGCTGATAACCACTCAGTTCCTTCTCTACTCTGTCCATCAAATTTACTTTCTAAGCAATCATCTGTCCCAATTTCTTTTGCGGTGATATCGGTCCTCAAACTAGAAGAGTTGTCTGCACACAACCGCACTTCTATTTCATTATCAACTACGGATTTCATCTTACCAACTTCCACGCCTGGACAATGCATAATCTTCGATGCAGATTTGTCTCCCGCATTAGCACTAAGCTCCGCAGAAGATTGTTGAGGGACTAGTTCATTAGCATCACCCTCAGATTGCAATTCCCCGTTCTCTAGATCTGAAACTAGACTCTCTCCCTTCACCACTTGAGATGGTCCTGCGTTACTCCCATTGATACAAGAGTCCTGATCTTGACTCTTGTGTTCTGCTTCGTTGATACATAAAGCTCTTGTGACCTCAGGCCCAGCGCCTGCAGAAACACCAACCTTCGAATCGGGGTTGTCTGAAGCAAATTCAGAGCCACGATCGCTTTCCATTGGAGGTTTGATCCCAGACAATTCATCGCTTCCTGCAGAAGAGATTGTAGTAGCTTTTTCTTTCGTTGAAGAAACAATTCTACCCTCCTCGCCAGCGCTAGAGCTAGCATTAGCAAGGGCCTGGAAGCACCCATCGTTGTCCTCGGAATCCTTTCTTGGTGCAGCATTACGTTTAGGACTGCTACGCGCTTTCCCTACAGGTCGCCTAGACGAGATCTTTCTGTTGCTTTCATCAGCGGCCCGTGAATTTGGAGAAGGATTGAAATCCGCCCACCCGTTACGCCTATCTCTGGATCTGTCACCCACTCGATTCTGCATAAAGGCAACATTCCGATTTCCAGATTCCCGACCGACATATCCAGGCATGAGAGAATCCGGGAAGTCACCAGTAAACTGTTGCTGCCATCCATGTGGCCCATCGTCTCTGTTCAATAAGAAGGCAGCTTCTCTAGGATGTAAACCTATAGGCCTAATTCCAGTGTAAGGCCAAGCCCGCTGCTGTTGAACACCCCTTCCGAAAAAATCAACGTGTAAACCAACACCCCTGAAGACTCTCTGTGAGCATTCCCTAGCTAAATGTCCCGGCTGCCCACAATTGAAACAATTGCGGACAAAATCGGGCCGCGGAAACTGAGGTCGTCCTTCAAACTGGTGGCCACCAAAGCCTCGACTTCTATCCATGCAGTTAAAACGGTCAGGGGCTGCTGCCTTCCCGCAGTCCCACATCAAATCACCAACATCCGGAAAAACTTCAGAGCCTGCTAGTCATTTTGTACGACACAGGTCAATTGGGACTGTTGAGTGCAGTAACGCAGAAATGAGCAAAACCAAGAATGAGAGTAACTTCGCTCAAACCTCAACTTCGGAAATTTCTAGCAGTGACCAATACATCAGAGTCAAAATAATTTGACATAAACCTTGGTAATATAAATTCTGTATAAACCTAAAAATTCGACTGGAACGACAAAACTACGGAGCCTTTACAAAAGGATGTACTTCTACAAACTCATGTACCCGATACCAATTCAGCTGACGTTTGATCCGCTTCTGGAAAATTCCTGATACAATAGAAACCCCCTAAAAAATTCACGATTGTATTTCACAAAGGCATGTGAAAATTAACTCCTACGTCTCCCAGCCCCTGCCATCTAACCCAAACACTCCAGTCGAAACAGCATTTTTCTATAGAGGGTACTTCTAAGGTCATCCCATGACCTGAGTATCTTAGTAATATAGTAGAGGTTGAGAACAACAAAACCCTAAGTAAAACTCCTAAAACCTTCGAATAAGCTGGAGAGTGTTCGCTGCGACTAAATTGAATTCCAAGTACTACGTAACCATCTGTCTCGCATGGACCAAGGCAGACCATATTTCAAACAACGAAATAGAAGACAGTTTTAGGCATAACACCACAGAGGAGCTACCAATTACCTCCACGCATGCCGCAAGGTTAGACTCTTGAACACTAATGACAGGCCAATCAACATTACCCCTGCCTCCATGCACTCCCGTAAAACAGACGTGTGAACGAGAAGCCTCAATGTAGCAGCTCTGCACAATTCCACATACCCTACGTCTCAATTCCGCAACAATGGCTTCGAGAGATTGACACAATTGCACTACATATAGGCGCATCACCAAAAAGAAAAAAGAAAAGTGACAAAAAGAATTTAATGCTCTCTCCGTTGACGAGGGCATCCTACTGCCATAACAAAACCCTGGTTCTCGTAAGGGGGTTAATCATTAACAAAATCTCAGCATACTGCAACAATCATAGAGTGCTATAACCTATGGATGATAATAATCGTCCAAAACTACAAATAAACGAAAAAAGCGTAAATAAATAAAATCGCTCGCATGGCAGTTCAGGAACACTATACGGAATAGAGAAAGAGCCTTGCCAAAGCAAACCCTAGGAGCTAACTCCATCTTCGAGCGCGCGCGACAGTCTTCCGCACCACCTCCGAACGCGCAAAAAGCGAGTAGCAGCATCCACAGGCCACAATTCCACCCAAGGCGCAAATCTAGGAAGCTAACATGGCATGAACCGAAAATCACATCACATCACCGCACCGCACCATGTGACACCACACCGCAAGCCAAGCACCACCGCGTGCAAAAAACAGCGCACTCACTCAGCTCTCGGCTCCTCTCTTTCCTCCCTCGAAGAACCGAACTGAAAATGATACGCACACGCGCGCGCTCACATGCACACAATAACAAAAACAACAACCAAAAACTACTCTAAAAAAAACGCACAAAAAAAAAAAAAAAAAAAAAAAAAAAAAGAGCACAGAAAGTTCGGCGACCGCAGCGCGATGGTAGATGGAATCCGTAGGCAAAAGGCTATGACGAGCGATGGACGTGCGGTGGTGCGGTTGAAGGACGTCGGGAAGAAGGAAAGGGAAGGGAGCAGAGGCGAACAAGAAGATTAACGAAGTCTCACCACCATCCCCTCGTTTCATTCCCGCCTAGACTGCACCAACAGCCCTAAATGAGACAGAGCCTTCCTTCAGACCCTTCCCCCCTCCCTGCTTTATATGAATGTATGTATTCGTGTATATTTGTACGTATATTTTGTTTTAACTGTGTGAATGCACTCCTCGGTTTGTTCTCGAACCTGCTTCCTGTCCTGCTATTCCTACCCCGTCCGGTCCGTAGCGCGGAAATCCTTCCTACCTACTCGGCCTTGGGGCCACTCTCTTCTGCAGTTAGGTTCGGGACAAAGTAATTCCACCCAGAGTTTCTGTGCAAACCCGGGATCAGTTACTCCGTCACTCGCACAACGATCGATGAATGTAGTATTACACATCCTCTGTTCGTTGACTGAGCAGCCTTTTAAACAATCCCGTGTTTCCTACTTGTAAATTTAGAAGGAAAAAGTAAATAAAAAAGTGAAAAGTGACCAAAAGTTTGCAAAGACCAACATTGAAGGTGGGGTTGTAACCATACGATTTTTGAACTTTAATATAATTATCATTTATGGGTTTGTTTAGAATAGTGTTTACTATTCATTAGGACAAGTGTGTGGGTGTGTGTATATATATATATATATATATATATGTACTAGAGATAAAAGATCTATACCATCAATAATAAAATTTATTCATCACTTGTGAAAAGCATGTATTGTACTTCACAACATGTTGAGTCAAATAATGTAATTACAACATTTTATTTTTTGATTAGTATCTTTATTAAACTATCATACACTCAACGTTTCAATCTTTCAAGATTTTAAGTTAAAGGAATTTTAAACTGTGATTTGGTGTGTGTTTAAATCGAGGTTTTCATCATTTGATTTTGCATGATTATTAAAATAAGTTTGATTGTATTGGCTGCAACAAGATAAGAGAAAAAGAATAATCACTTACTACAAAAGCTATAGGGTTGTGTAAAGATTACTAAAGGGACTTGTGACAAATGACATAAATGTTGAAAATTACTGTATCTCTTGATTTCAAATTATTCTTCTTTATTTGTGTGCTTCATTTAGCATATAATTATTAAAATGTATATTTTTGAATTTGGCATACACCTTCAAAAATAAAGAAATCTATTAATATATATTAAAGACAAGACAATGAAAATATTGAGACAATGAAAATATTGCAAATATTTGTATTTCGTGAAAGGAACAAAAATAAAAATAGAAATTATTCAATTGATCTATGATAAGATTAACAAGATGTGTTTGTATTAAGACATCTAAGAGAATATTTTATAAAATAAAATTATAAAATAAGGATGTTTAAGAATCACATTTGCAAATTTAGCTTGTTATTTTGTTAATGACTATTTATATGTGTCAAACTTTTAAAACGAAAATAAGAGTTTTTTTTCTTGATTCACTAATTAGAATTGTATAATCTCTCTACTTGATATGTTTGATGGACCTGCTTGCTATAAACAGTTGCTCTTATAGCTTAGCACTTCCTATTTAGTAGGTGTTTTGAATATCTTATAGATAGTCTCTAGTAGATTTAGTGGCTTTGGTATTTAGTTTGATGAAATTGTGTAAATAGTAATATAATTTACAACAGACAATAGTAATATATTTTACAATATATGGATCCTTGATTTGATTGCTCATATTATATATGTCCTTAAGAGAATTGGTTTTACACTTATATTCTATATTACAATAAATCTATGTTTATGGGGAACGATATACTATTAAAAAAAATCTGAAAAGTGGCACAATTTGTAACAAAGTAATTGATAAAATTATGAGAACATTGATTATTGTAAGAAATACTTATAAACTAGAACAAAACTTTATTTGGTTAGATGTAGTAGAAATAGTTGATTGTAAATGGACCATAGAGGGCAAAATTATGAACATTTTTTTTAAGAAACTTATATGGTGATGAAGATTAAGAGGATTAATAATATATATGAGCTTGTAGAAGCACTTTAAAAATTTGAAAAAGTTTTTTTTTTAATCTACTCAAAAGAAAAATTAAATAGATATAATCAATTTTTTGAATATATAATTAAATCAAATAAGTGAATTAAAGAATTGTAAAACAACACAAGTGACAATTCTTTTAGTAATCATATTCTTAGAAGATAGATTTATTCAAGCATTGTGCATTTGAGAAGCAATGCAAAATAAGATTTGATATTATTATTTTTTGTATTGAAGATATGCAAATTTAAAATATTATAAGTATTTTAAATAATTAAATATAATATTTTAAAATAAAATATACACATATTTGACATAATTGTACTTAAGATGATATTTCTAATGGTGAAGTATAAGATGGAAAGATACAAAAGTGAATACAACAAATATGTTAATAGAACTAATAATAGTTGAAAAGTTCAATAGAATATATTAGACTTGCCAATATTTTTTATATTGTTCTTATAGGGGTTCTAACAAAATACACAAATACTACTATGTAGCTTCTTTTAAATAGAGAAAGCAACAATAACATATCTACAATATGATATATATATTATTTGGTGTATGTTTAGGATATTTTGTAAAAACTCTTAAAGAAGTTAACAATTGTAGTGCTTAACTTAATAAAATACAATTGTATTTTGTATATAATAAGTTCTTGGTAAGACAACTCTATTGTATGATTTTTTTTATACATGCATAATTTTATGTTTTTTTATTTAAAAAACTAATATTATGATTTAAATAATAATAAGCCTCAAAAAATTAAATAAAAGTACTTGTTAATTTATTACTATTATTATTATTTTATTTTAAATTTATTTTCCTTTATAATAAAACTTGATTTCAAAATTTCCTAATAAAACATTTCATAATAAAACATTTCATAACAAAACATTTCATAATAAAACTTGATTTCAAAATTTCCTATCAAAATTTTCTTGAAGTTTATTAAAATACTGTACAAACATCTAGAAGAGTGAAATACTTTTATTGTCTTAAATAACAATAAAACAAAATAAAATAAAAATAAGAGCAACATCAAAAGAAAGATATAAAAAAGAAAAAAGGAAAGAAATTGGAAGCAGAATATTGGACATACTAAAAGAAGAGCAAAGCCTATAGTAGGAACTAGAAGAAATATGTATATAAGAACAAGCAAACTTTGAAGAAAAACTTGCTAGAGATCTCAGACTAAATATTAAAAAAAAAGACAGAAGCAAACTTTGAAGAGGAATTAGAAGAAGCACACGCAGAAGAGAACGATGAAGAAAACATAGAAGTAGCAGAAACAAACAGTAAAAGCAGGAGGAGACGTGAAAGCATCAGGAGAAAAGACACAACAACAACAACAAGAACAGTAGTCGAGGCAAAGAAAGGGATTGGAGTTGGAAAAGCACTAAACAACGACCCATTGTCACACTTAACTTCCAATTGTCGATGCAAAAGTCTCTATATTCTCCACAATCCCACTCTCTCTCTCTCGCTCTCTCACTTAGACTGTCTCTGTAGCAGCCGACTCGCTTGAATCACCCCACTTCACCATCACTGAATCAATGCACCTCGATCGATCGATCGATCGATGGGCACTGTTCTGCAAAGTTTGCACATCAACCTTTTCCAATCTTTCCAGAAAGCTTGTTGCTTGACGTGTATCTAATAGCGTTATCAGCGGGAAATGAGAGGCATGATCCTTGATGTTAAAGCCAAAAGTTAAAAAAACGTCTTTGCTGGGAGTAACTTTGACTGAGAATTTATTCACTGTGTGGATACCGCATTGTTCAAGTGGTGGTTATTGTTGTCGAGTTATTTTTAGGTCATCGTCGATACCTGCCGACTCCAGTCACTCAAGCTCAAATTAGAAACCTCGCTGATCCCCCCAAGCTAACAAACTTGGAACTTAACCATGAGACCACTCAATGAGAAATACTTTCGCCAGGCTTGTTACTAGTTAAGTCACAGATGATTTACAATTAAAATCATCTGCTTCGGGATTTGCAGGCCTATTCTTGGTTTCACTCTAAACACAGTACGTAAAATCAGATAACTAAGTAATACACTGTCAAACTCATGCCACGCTTAGACCATTAGGATCATACATCATCTCAATCTCCTTCCACCATCAACGCAGCACGGGAATGAGCACCGGAGGCTCATCTGCATCCCTTCCAGTGGCAGAAGTCAGTGTACGTGACCCACCCTTGCCACCGCCAGCACGAAATTAATACAAAGCCAACACACAACCACCCACTCAAGGCTCACTTCTGGACACAATTGTATCAGACACTAGCAGAAAATTATTTTCTGAGGCAAATTGGCCAGACAGCTTGTAAGACAGACACAGACCTGCAGGTGAAATCGCTGCGGAGGTGATGCTGCTGATGTCGATGTATACCGACACCCGGTGTCTGCGAACTGATCTTCCTCCACGGCTGTGAAGATTGCCACGCAGTAATTTACTAAATAATCAGATGCTACCCATACCCCAGTTCATGATTTCTTAGCAAAACTCAACAAAAAATCTCATCTCAACATGGCTTGCGTGTCATATTTGTGTTGACATGATGTTTGATAAGAAATTAAAGTAAGTAAGTTAGCAAGTATGTAAGTATCTTAACATAAAAGTTGAGATTGAAAATATTGTGAGTGGAATTTTTTGGGAGATTTATGGTAACAATTCTGTTTGTTTTTCATTTATTTCTTTACTTTTTTGTTTAATGCATGATGGTTTTAGAATGATAAATGTATAGTGATACTATATAGGAACTGGATATTAACAAGTGGGCTAACAAGCCAATTGTAGGAGAAAAATCAAGAAAAAATTATATATATATATATGTACAAAGAAATAAAATATTCAATTGATTTATGATATTAAAAATAGAGAATCATAAATGCTACATCTCCAATTGATATTGCTACATTCCACAAGACTTTTACACAACTTAAATTGACTAAAAAGTGTGCTTTTATGTTTAAGGCATGTTTGACAATCTAATATTTAATCCCAATACTGACCCAAAAAAGAATAAATCATATTTTGTATATTTTTTGTAGTCAAATAATTTTTATTTTTATTTTTATTGAATTAAAAGTTTTTTGAAATAATTTTTTTATAAATTAAAAAAACAACTTGGAACATGGTTTTTCAAAAAATATTCATTGTATTCCTTTCAAGCACCACCATTTTTTAAAGCAAAGAAAGGAAAAAATGCACAAAGAAAAGTAGCGTATTATTAGCTAGTTGTCTATAATGAGGTTACATGGAGTGTAACAATATCAATTGGAAATGTAGCAATAACAATTCTCTAAAAATGTACATTTTATTAAATTTTATTAGAACATCAAATCTAGAAATAATACTAATTTATATTGATAATTTAAAATATATTTTTACTAAACATATATAATAAAAAATAAATATAAAAACAAATTTAATACCATGTAAAAAATAGAATACAAATTATTTTCTCATACATATATTCATGATTAAGGTAAATCTACATAAATACTTTGTAATTTTTTAATTTTTTAAACTCAACATAAAAATGCATATTATATCCTTTAAAATACAACTTACAAGATTTTTTTTACCTTACAAAAAAAATTTTAAATTTAAAAACACACACACACACACACACACACACACACACACACATATATATATATATATATATATATATATATATATTATATTCAAATAATTAAAAAAGCAAAAAATCTAAAAAGTTTTTAAGGTCTTTGAAACATTATTAGATAGTTTGTTGAAGTAAAACTGAAATATTTATATTTAAAATTATTATATAGAAGAATAACATCTAGTTCTCATTTCTATTGATTTGCATACAAATATATATAATATCACAGATTTATTGATTAATTTTAAAAATTATTTAAAATAAAATTTAAAATAAATAATTCTTTTTATAACTATTAGCTAGTGAAATAATTATTCAATTAAAAAAATCTATAGCTTATAACATTGACATCATTTATCTCTCTTTTTTTTTAAAAAAAAAAAAAAATCTTGTATGTAAGAGAAACCAACACCATTTTTTAGATTTAAATAAGGATGTGAAAATGATATTGATGACAAAAAGAAAGCAACAATGGTAACTATTATAATGTTTAACAATTGAAATAGTTGCTTCAAGTACAGTATAGACTTTGGATAAACCTGTATGAAGTTATGAACAAAGATTTTAAATAACAAATATTATTCCAAAAATAGATAGTCACAGAATTTTCGTTACAATTTCCAATAAAATAATTATTAAATTCATTATTAATTTTTATATGATCTTGAAAAAATTAACAAAATCTTACAAAAAGACCTAATAACATCTTTTATTTACATAAGAACAAAATACCAATAATGTTTATGAACATGAAGAAAGAAAAAAACAATACTTATGGAACCAACAATGTTTATAATGTAGAAGTGGACTTAACTAACTAAATAAATAAATAAATAAATAAATAAATTGTATATATACAAAAAAACACATTCTCTCATCTTCAAATAGATATTATATATAACATTTTCTTATATATATATATATATATATATATAGATATCTTCATTAAAACTTTCTCATCACACAACTTGAAACTAAATTCCTCTTATTTCTTCTTAAAGCACACTTGAAGCATCACACAATTTCTAGCGGAATCCAAGGGCCTATTTATTACCTAAAGCATTACCTCACCCCAACTTAATATTTAAATGTGTGTACCTCGATCTAGATTGTTTTCAGTCGTTGAACATGTCTGCACTTGACGACGTGTGTGTTGTGTGATTCCATCCCATGTGACTGCATTGCTACACCGAACACTCACACTTCAACTTGTGGGTCCCTTGGATGCAACGTCAATGCTCAGGATACATGCAGACAGTCATCATCTTCACTCCTGCCATAGCTGTCGCTGATGGTGGTTGCAGATTTCGAAGCATGCATATCGCAGGAATGGATCGAAGGTAAAACTGCCCTCACTGGTTTCCGGAGAAATGAATCTGAGCAGGAAATAGATTGATAGAAAAGATAGAAACAGGAAAGTTATTTGTACCGATGATTAGTTGGCTGTGAATGTTTCAGGGTCATCTGATTTCATGCCTCCAATATTAGAATGCGCAGCTTCACCAATGCGTGATGACTAGCCGTGAGAACTCTTGTTTTATCTTTTAGTTTTATATAAAACCAGGTGTAATAGTATGGTTGAAGGCTCGTTTGTTCAAAAGCCTCTGTTCGAGGTTCCATGACAATCAATCTTCAATGCCCGAGTTCCTTAACAACAACATTGTGTACTATGTGAACGATGTTGATTACATGGATCACGTTTCACCACTGTAGAATTTCGAAACATAGGTGAATACATCATCAGTCTCTCGACCAGAACCTGGCCGACTTAAACTCACAACATGCAGGGAAAATTCGCGCACAGACACAGTCATGTGCTTTTGCGAAAACTAGACCGATGAACTGCAAGAGCCTGGAGTATTCACTTATGGCTCCTAAACAGTTCTCAGAATACAGTGGCCCTGAAGACTCAGTCGAAAAGCTCAGTATCAGAGAAGATCGATTGCAACTACAACGTCTCTTCCTGAAAATACCACCGCCTGCAATTTACTGCAACAAACTAAACAACACGATTCAGCAATGTGTCCTCTAACTCCAACCTCCACTACTGAGAATGATCACATCTAGTTTTCATACAGCATGGCACCAGCAGCTCGTCATGAAGACCAGCATCGACGATTATGGAACAGTGGCACCTGCACGACCAAACATCATCAGGAACTCAATATAAGCAACAGAATAACCGACGGGACACTTGAACCAACCAAACAATCCTACAGCAATAAATCACAACCTGAGAGACGCACCTTTGCAATTGTAGCCGTGGGTGTAAGTGAGCCCAGTCTTAGCCTGGCACTTGCTCGGCAGCTGGACAGCGTCACTGGTTCTGATCCCCAACGACGAGGCGGCATCGCTGGTCAAAGCATCGCACAGGCACGCCAGGCCATCATCCATCGACATCACCCCCGCCAGCGTCTCGCAGCACTGATCGGTGGGCTCCGCGCCAGTCGTCACCGCGTCCAGGCAGGGAGAGTACTCGGTGAGAGAGCGGCACTGGGCAGTCGCACAGGTGCACGCCATCGCCATCGCCAGCACCACCACCAGAGCTGCTGCTGCTGCTGTTACCCCAGAGCTGTTGCTGCAGCAGCCCCCCCTCCTAGTCACCGAGTTGTTGTTGTTCGTCATGACCGGCTTTCTTCTTCTGCGAATCCCGAGCTCGTTCGTGAGCTTGAATATGCCAATCTAGATAAATGAGCTGCTCCAGCACTGATCGAAGCTGCTGCTGCTGCAGAACATCAGTCTGAGCAGAGCGACCGCGGGTGCGAGCATCTATATGCGCTGCAGGAAGAAGGTTCGCAGTCATGGGTCGAACCTACCCTTGGTCTTCAGGCGCCATGCGGAATAAATCGCGGTCATAAGAGGATCTAAGAACGATCTTAGGGATCATATGAGATAACTTGTGATAATAAGGGGACGAAATCACGGTCTTACTGATCATATGAGATAACTTGTGGTAATAAGGGGACGAAATCACGGTCTTACGGATCATATGAGATAACTTGTGGTAATAAGGGGACGAAATCACGGTCTTACGGATCATATGAGATAACTTGTGGTAATAAGGGGACGAAATCACGGTCTTACGGATCATATGAGATAACTTGTGGTAATAAGGGGACGAAATCACGGTCTTACGGATCATATGAGATAACTTGTGGTAATAAGGGGACGAAATCACGGTCTTACGGATCATATGAGATAACTTGTGGTAATAAGGGGACGAAATCACGGTCTTACGGATCATATGAGATAACTTGTGGTAATAAGGGACGAAATCACGGTCTTACGGATCATATGAGATAACTTGTGGTAATAAGGGGACGAAATCACGGTCTTACGGATCATATGAGATAACTTGTGGTAATAAGGGACGAAATCACGGTCTTGGGGAAGTGTGAGATAAATCGCGGTAATAAGAGGACGAATTCACGGTCTTAAGGTGTCATGTGAGATACATCGCAGTCATAGGAAGGCATAATAATGGTATTAGGGTTACGAGGGGTAACTCGTGGTAATAAGGGTACGAAAGCACGGTCTTAAGGCTAGAATGATGGTTCACGGTCATGGATGGGCGATATCCACGGTCTACCTTGGGTTCCCAGAAGGGCACTTGTCACTGTTATCCTTCTTTTGGTTTGATGTTAGTTATGTATATTGTCTTGTTCTTTGTGATTTTTATTTTTATTTTTCGTATTTTTTTTTCATTATCGGTTTTAAGGATCCCTTATTAATTTTTAAATTTTTTTTATGTGCTGTAATTTAATCCTTTAATAATTAAAAAAATGGAATATGAAAGAGTGGAAAAGGTCTTTTATTAGTTTTTCTTTTTTACCAAATGAAAATTTTCATGAAGGCATGTTTTTTAATTTTAGGAATAAGCATAGAAGAGTATGGATAGAGGTGAATTGTTTCCTTTTTTACTTGTATTTGTATTTCTTTTATTGCAGAAATTATATTTGAGTGAGAATTAATTAGAGGAATTTTTAAAATAAAACTCAAAGATAAGAAAAACTGCTGTTTTTCAGAAAACTCTATGAAACCAAATACAAGGCAAATTGAGAACAAAATATGATGCAGAAAAAACTGAAGCTTAGTTGATTTGTATCTTTATTTTTATTTTTTTGAAAGTGCATTTTAAATGTCATTCTTCAAATATTACATGCTGATATAATTACATTTATGATTTTCGACTATTATTTAAAGTTGATCATTAAGAAACTCAATGTAACATGAAACATTATCATTCATAGTATAATATACAAGAAGAACAAAATAATATTGAACCTTTTTTCTTTTTATGGTTCTTCAAATATGTCAAAATTCTTCAGATTTTATCTATTTTACTTTGGTAAGTTCTTTTACATACCATAATTTATAATTTAAATACAAAATGAGTTTTAGAAAGTTTTTCTAGTAAAGTAACTGTTCTTTTAAAGACTCTTGTTACAGAAAAAGAAATTGTTTGTATTTGGTTGCTACCTTAAATAAATCTCAGCAACTCATTTTAAATCATAAAAAATTAAAAATTAAAATAAAAGTATCTAAATTATGTAATAATTTCTACTTTTTTACGTATTCTGAAAATTATCTTCTTAATAGATAGCAGGTTATACCTCAAAAGATATTTTTAAAAAATATATCAATATACCTTTAAGAAAAAAATTCACATATGATATTATATATTTATTTTCTAAAATAAACTAAAATTGCATAAATCAATAAACAAGTTATTCTGCACTGTATTGAAATAAATAAACCGCTTTCACTAAAACATGATTTAAAAAGAAGGTTTTAAATTTAAATAAATATATTTTCAATAACTTTGTGCAGTATAATGTAATTTTTTTTGACAAGATCGATAAATGATATTTAAAAAAATTTATGGTCCAAATATTAAAACTGATATAAAATAAAACTTATAATAAATTTAACAACTAAGGAAGTTATAAGTTTATTTTTAACAACATATTTTTTTTATTTGATTAAACAAATAGTAAAATCATTTTTTGTGGTGTTTAATGTTTCAAATTAATTTGATTTGTAAATATGATAACATTGAAAAGACTCTTTTTATTTATTACTTTTCTATTTTATGCAAGTTTTTAAATCCATCAAACATAACCATCCTACAAAAATCATAGTTTGATATCTTACCAAATTTTAGTTAATTATATACAATTTATTTACACTCTACATAAGAAAATTAATCATGCAAAAGATAAACAATACATTTCATAACTTATTAAATTCAATTTTTAGTACCTCCACACTTTTCTAAATATCCTCACAATTTCACATGAGTATTCTTTATTGACAATATTTCACACTACAAATATCATATATCTAATCAATTACAATAGTAAATAGTCATAACATTTTAATGACTCATCAAATATTCATATATCTAGATTTGTAGCTAAATATATCACTAGCAACTTTTTTCCAACTCCTAGCATTCAATATCTTCACCATCAATGGTTTTTATATAATGTAAGTTAATTAATTCATATAAAATAATACCACACCATCTTCCTAAATTTTCTATCAAATCCATATGAATAAAATCTAGCTTACAATAATTGTATCCAATTCTTTCATTTTCAAAAAATTCAACATGCCAATACAAACACACTAACATATTAACCTTAAAACCTACTTCTCAAAACTGCAATAAATATGTATCTTATATGTCTTTTCTCACAAGACCACAAATCATAATGTCCAATATCTAAGTCCATTTCTCTAATCTTGAACAAAATGAAACAACTCCCATGAAACCTTTCAAAAACATACAACTTAGTAATTGATCACCATCCAATGTAAGTCCAGTTTGGTATTCATGTGTATTCATTACATCTAATCAAAATTAGAGCAAAGCCACCATCCTTGTGTAATCAATGTATTTTTTTTGAATGAACAAAAGATGAAACTTTCTTGACATATCTTGTAATGCAATGAATAGATGCTAAGCACTTCATCTACTATACTCAGTTGCAAATTGTAGAGATTGGTCATCCGCCAACGCAACCCAAATCTTCTACAAAATCCACAAAATCAACACTAGCCGCCCTTCTACTCCAAACGATCAATACAACCACACCTAAACAGATAGCATACCAGAGATGCCCTCCATCGCATGGAATCATAACAAGGCATCAACCACAACACTAAAACCTGTATATACCCAAGAAGTAAAGCAACTACTCCATACCCTACCAAGTGATGCTATGAACCTCCTATTTGGAGAATTATATTGTATAGTACACTAGTCTCTTAGTCTCATGTGTAAAATACTATCTACTATATATTGACCTTATACCAAGAGTTGTGACTCTTGGTGTTACCATGGTATACATAATATATATATATATATATATATATATATATATTGTGTATCAATTGATCATATTAATAATAATGATGTTTTCAATATGGTATCAGAGCTATAAAAATATTCAATCCTCAAAATAAGCTTTGGTGAATGCTTTATTAAGAAAATAATTGCTGAAATTACAAAAATAGTTTATAATGAAAATAATATCAATACAATTCATTATAATAGTAAAGGTTCATGAAGAACTTGAAGTTCATCAAACCATGAAAAGCAATTTGAGACTTGAAAATGGCAACATACAAACCATAAGCAAAGATAAAATTGAATTGATCAAAAATAAATTTATAAATAATTACAATTCAATTTTAAATTAAAAATATTGAAGATGACATAAAAAAAGGACATTAATCATGTCCCAAAATTCGATGGTTCATAGTTTAACATATGGAAACATAGACTAACATTAGTTTTCAAGATTGAAAAGTTATGGCCCATAGTAAGTGGTGAAGAACTCTTACTAGTGGAACCAACGGAAGCTAAAATAGCTGTCGAAATCCTAGCTTTACCTGCCACATAAGTAGGAAGTATAAGTGCATGGATAGACAAGGATACCTTGTCTTTAACTATAATTAATAATTGCCTAAAAAACAATATTGTTTCACATATACAATCTTGCACATCAACAAATTCAGCATGGCAAGAATTAGTAAAATATTTGAATCACATGATGCAATAACTAAGATGTATTTAAAAGACAAATTATACACCTTAAAAATGAGAGAAGGTGATAGTATTATTAAACACATACATACCTTTAGAGCACATATGGAACAATTGTTGGCAGCAAGATTAGTAGTTCTAGATGATGAAGCAATTCTCACTTTAATGAGAAGTTTGGCTCTAAGTTATAGATCCTTCATTAGCTCCTTAAGAAGGCAGCATAGGATTACATTAACATCCTTGATAATAGATTTGATCCAAGAAGAAATATTCATGAAAAACATGAATTTAACATCTGATAATAATTCAACCTTGTATGTAGGTAAGAAATTTTAGAATATTAAAAAAAGATCTTATTTTAATAAGAATTTTAGGAGAAGTTCTTAAAGAGAGAGTAACACATCCAAAGCACATGAAAAGAGTAATTTTGCTATTAAGAAATATTTTTTTTGCAAGAAAACAGGTCACTTGATCAAGGATTGTAAAACAAAAATAACAACTGAAAATTGTAATAACAGAAAAGAAACAAATATTGTTACCAAAACAAATAAACTATATGTGGCAGCACTTATAGTTAAAGAAAATCCGAATTCAATGTGGTATTTGGACTTGGGAGCAACTCAACATATGTGTCATGAGTTAAAAGGATTTGTTAAATACATCAAAAGTAAAGTCAAACAAGTTGTCTACTTAGGAGATGATACTACATCATATATAATAGAAGAACAAGGTGATGTAAATATCAAACTTACAAATGGTGATGAGAAGATCATACCTGATGTATTATACATATCCGGATTTGCAAAGAATTTATTCTTTGCCAAGCAATTAAATAAAATAGGAAGAGAAGTTTGCATAAGAGATGGTACCACTACACTTACAAATAAATTTGGTAAAATCATTGCATTATGCAAATTAAACCCAAATTTATATGAATTAGGTACAACTATACTTTCAAACAAGCCTCAAATTGCTATTTCGACAACAATATAATTAAATAAAGTTGATTTGTGGCACCTAAGACTAGGACACATAAATCCTCAAAGACTCAAATAAATACAAACCATGGCAAAGGAGATTGATTCCTTTGATGAAAGAAAAATTACCTTATGCCAAGCTTGTATAGAGGGTAAACAACATAAAGAAAAGTTTCCTATACAAGATGCACAAAGAGCTATCCAATTGTTAGAATTTATACACTTTGACATTTGTGGACCTATACAAGTAAGCACACATTCATGATGTATTTACTTCATCACATTTATTGATGATCTAACAAGATATTGCTAAGTGTATTTGATGAAACACAAATTTGAAGAATTTGAGAAATTTACCTTATACAAAAAATTTGTAGAAAAATAAACAAGTTTCAAAATTAAAACCTTAAGATCTGATTATGGAGGTAAATATACATCCAATGATTTTAAAGATTTTTGTAACAAAGAAGGTATTAAACAAGAATATACTACAGCCTATACATCACAACAAAATGGTATTTTTGAAAGAAAAAATAGAACATTAATAGGACCAATACTTGCAATGATATCCTATTCAAACTTATCTAAAACTTTTTGGGATGAAGCACTCCAAAAAATAAATTGCCTCCAAAATAGGAACCCTAAAAAATTTATACAAGTTACCAAAACACCATTTGAATTATGGTACAAATGACAACCAAATTTATCCTACCTTAAAATATTTGGTTGCAAAGCTCATGTATTCATTCCTAAAGAAATAAGAAAGAAGTTAGACTCTCATTTGCAAGAGGCTATCTTTCTAAGCTATAGTGAAGAATCTAAAGCCTAGAGACTTATGAATATACAAAGTCAACAAATTCTTATTTCAAGAGATGTTCTCTTCAATGAGAATCTACATGATCCACAAATAACTCCATACTTACAAAAAGATAATAAAGAAGTCTTACTAGATTTAGAATTATTAAAATACCTTTCAATAACTAAAAGGACCAATGAGCAAATCCTCCCTTGTGTTGAAGGCATGTCTTCCAATATCAATGTTACTACCACAAGAAATACATGTATTTGATCAATCACCAATACATAGTATTCTTTCAAATGTGAGAGAACAACCCCCTTCTCACATTGATGTCATAGAAGACTTCTCTCAACTTTCATTTCCAAATGATCAAAAGATCTTACCTCTTGCAGATGATGAAGTACATTCCACATTGAAGGCTCCAAATCTTCCTACTAGTTTTAGACCAACAAGAATTATTCAACCAACCACAAGATTTTTGGAGTCTATACAAGGTAGAAAAGGATATAAATAACAATGTAATCGACCTCACCAAGCCCACCTTGTTTCTACTCACATAGAAGCTTCAATCTCCATTCAAGAAGCAATGAAGAAGGTTGATGCTCAAGAATGGCAACAAGAAATCAATGCTGAAATTACATCCTTAAACAAGAACAATACATGGTACATGACAAATTTACCTCCTAATCAAAAACCAATCAATTCAAAGTGGATTTTTAAAATCAAAACTAAAGTTGATGGAAGTGTTGACAAATATAATGCAAGGCTAGTTGCTAGAGGTTTCACCCAAGTTCAAGGTATTGATTACACAAAGACATACTCTCTTGTAGTCAAATTTAACTCTATCAAAGTTCTTATTGCTTTAACCACTCAATATAATCTGGAAATACATCAACTAGATGTTAAAACAGTCTTTTTAAATGGTTTTATAGAAGAAAATATCTATATGACTATTCCTAAAGGATTACCCTCTTTTCAGACTAATAAGGTATGTAAATTAAATAAATCCCTATATGATCTTAAACAATCATCTAGAACATGGTATCAACGATTAGATCAATATTTAATCCTTCATAAATACCAACGTCTCAAATCAGATGCAAACATATACATCAAAAGAGAACATAATCAAGATTTTACCATAATTACAATCTATGTTGATGACTGTATTCTTGTCAGCAACAAGCTTCCTTTAATTCAGCAAGTCAAAGACATTCTCTAGCAAGAATTTGACATGTCCGATCAAGGAGAAATCCATTATACTTTAGGCAATGCCATATTAAGAAATCAAAAAGAAGGATGGATCATCCTCCATCAAGCCAAATACTTAACAAATAAACTTAATGAATTCAATATGTTGAATTCTAATCCATTAAGCACTCCAATTCAGCCAGGAATTTGTTTAAGTAATGAAGACTCTATCACTTTATTTAATTACCCCTATTCTCAAGTTGTTGGCAGTTTAATGCATGCCATTGTTAATTCTAGATCCGATTGTGCTTATGCTATCAGTAGTTTAGCACAATATTTCTCTAAACTAGGACCTATACATATTCAAACTTTAAAAAGAACTATGAAATATATAAAAGGCACATTATACTTGGAATAAAATATCAACACTTATCTCAAGGTGATATTCTCCATGGTTATTCTGATGTTGATTAGGTAAGTGATAAAGACACCCGTCGCTCCACCTCTGGCTTTTGCTTCTTACTAGCTCAAGGAGTTATCTCTTGGGGCAACAAGAAACAACAATCTGTTGCTTTGTCATCCATAGAATTAGAATACATGGCTTTAACAAAAGCAACCATTGAAGCCATATGGTTGAGAAAATTATTACATGAACTTGGATTCCCTCAACATGCACCAACCATCATATACTCACATAGTCAAAGTGCAATTGTTCTTAGTGAAAATCCAAAATATCACTCCAGAAGGAAATATGTGGACACAAAATACCATTTCATAGGAGAAAAGATACTTGCCAAGGAAATTAAATTATAATATGTGCCAACAACACATATGACAGCAAATGTATTTACAAAATCTCTTCCCAAAGAGAAACATTTTCAATGCCTATCTCAATTAGGCATGTATCCTATTCCTCTCAATTCAAAACAAGAAACCTATTCTACAATAATTCAAGCATTGCTGGTCTACTCAAAATCACCAAACCTTCTACAATAACCATATTTTGATACATCATGGAGTGGGAGAATACATAGTAAGCTACCTCAATCTAAATCCATGAAATATCACAATACACAGATTGACGCCATTGCAGTAGTGCAACCCGCCACGGCCGATCTTGCATTAGCTGGCGATTCCACTGCAACAGGGGAGCCTGCCACAACTGATCTTGTATCAGCTCGCGACTCCATTGCAACAGCGGAGCCCACCATAGCCGACCCCGCATTGATGGTCGATCCCAGCGCAAAGCCCATCAAGACGCCTACATCAACAACCGACCCCCATCAATATATACGCAAGCAACTGAGTCGATCTTCATGGCAGCAACAATCTTCAATAGCAGCAGCGCCTCTAATAACAACAACGAAAATAGCTTTGCATCAAAAAAGGAGTGTGCGCAAAGCAATCATGAAACACAATCTAACAATAGTTCAAAATCAATAAAGAAACACATACCTTTTCAGATTTGAAGAAGTAGTGGCAGAGCTACGAGAGAGCTCTACATCAATGCAACACCCAAAAAGGAGATTGAAATCCTATATTGCTCATACATATTTCTCATAATGGATGAACTTTCGCAAAAGATGAAATCCAATTCAAGAATGAAGATTAGTGTACTAGTGGGAGTATTGAGAGAATTATATTGTATAATACACTAGTCTCCTAGTCTCCTGTGTAGAATACTATCTACTCTATATTGACCTTAAACCAAGAGTTGTGACTCTTGGTATCACCGTGGAACACACAACATATATATTGTGTATCAATTGATCATATTAATAATAATGACGTTTTCAACACCTCAGCATTGAGCCTCGACCCAAATCCTCACCCACACATGCAATTCAACAAAAACAAGTTTTCATGCGCACCAGCCAAGTAGAGCTGTTATCACCATATTGCTTCAAATCCAGTTAACGCCTTGACGCTAGAATCCTCCAACACTTGCACTCATACTGCAGTCCGCTCAACCCACGACATCCTCAGTACCACACCCCTCCCCCCGGATCAGAATCGCACTACATGATACCTTCTTCTGAACAACAAAATCTCCACAAGCGACTGACGTGCTGGTGCCAGTCGCACGAGCCTAAATATAAAATCACAACACGAAAGGAATAGCTTGCGCAGAAGCAACAAAGCACATAGCATGTGGTGAGGGTGACCAGAGCAAACAACCCTAGCCCGCTCGTGCTCGGGATCCGGTCACATCGTGGATGAAATGGGTACTGATTTGTGGCCGGACCATATCCACGGATGGATAAAAACGTTGCTCAAAACAATTCTCTATTACTGTCGGTTGCATGCGAGACAGTGCACTTGTGAGATGCGAGCTGATGTTTGAATAATTTTGTATTATTGTCATCTCGCCGCAGATCGGCAAGTGATAACAGGGCTGAGAGAGATTTCAATTCAGAAAGCCGGAGACAATAAGTGTGATGCTTGTGTCAGAACCGAAGGATGAATTGGAGGCGTCACAGCTTGCTGGTGATGGCAAGATACAGTATGTATTGCTTGGTTGCTGGGTTAGTAAACCCACTTGCAGACCAGTTTGCGTGCCTCCTCGAGGACAAAGCCATTTTGCTTCCTTACAAGATGCAGTCGAGGAGCCTCATGAAACCCCGATTGTGCATCATGTGACCGACAAGGATGATAATAATTTCGACGAGACACAATGCAATTTTGTGCTGTTGAATGATGGTTCCTTTGACCTTTCATCTTTCAATTTGCTAAGTCTAGGCATCTAAAGCCTAAACATACAGATCTGCACTGTTCCATATGTGGAGCCATATTATCCCCTTTTGCCCATGAAGCGGTAAGGAAAATCAAGCGGTCATGCAGGAAAGCGAGCTTCAATATACGTTCTACATACCTGGAGAAGACAGAATAACGCATTCTGCAAGTCTAATCTTGTCACCGTGATTCTTCAATATGAAAATCAAAGGGAATACTGAAAAAGCACAAAAATACTATTCTATCTAAAACCAACATCCATTTCATCATCCAACACCAAATCCAATTCTTACAACTCTACCAAACAACCAACTCGCTGCCAAATACATGTCACTGCTACAATTAATATACATTAACACCCGGATTGGAACAACCAATGTCTCCGGACATTCTAAACATACATGTCGATGTCCGCCGACCAGGAGACGTTCAACCCACTGGGCAACATCAAACACTTCAAACGTTGATTCCAACCAATTCACAACCGTCCCAATGACCCCAACCTGCAACACAGGGTGATCTCCGAAACCACATCCAGCACAACCACCACACAAATAATTTCCAAGCATTCACTCATGTGCACTACCAACACCCTTGTGTGCTGCATGAAATGCGTTTGATTGCTTTTTTGGATTAAAGAACGCGACACCGGTATGAGCTGAGCCCATTTTTCGACCTCGGAAAGAATGTGGTACATACAACTGTGCGCTACCAATGAAAACCTCCAGATCCATGGCAATGGCGCAGGATTCCGGGGTTGCCGCAACTCAACTAATGCCCTATGTGTCGTCGGCGCCGCAGCCGGCTTGGCTTCACGATTACGCCACGGCACCTCTCAATAGCTTCGTTCGAATCCGCCCTACTTGTCCGTCCGAATAAAATCCACGTTGCGCTAGAAGGAATCACCGCTGCTCTGCGGAGCTCTCCGATCACCTGAATCCATTGGCAAACTGCAACTGCACATCACCAACAGCAGACGCAATAGATTCTCGACAATAATTTATCAGGAGTTTTCTGATATTCCAGTGCGTGGTTGAGAACCGTAACCGTAGTAGATACCCGGGAGTGAGTCGACGTCAAAACACACTGACTGGTTCCCGCCCTCTCTCTACAAAGCGCGGGAGTCGTGCATATACACGTGGCGTAGGTGACCGGCTTGAGCAGCAGTTGTTCGACGAACGACGTCGATCGTTGTCGTTGTCGACGTCGGCGACGAGGAATGGACGAGAGGCTCCGTATTGTCGAGAGAGACTCGTCAAGGCTTCGAGCTTCCGAAACCCCCCCATGATGCATAAAAATTGCCATGGTGATGTATGTTTGCATGTCGACTAGATGCAAGGCGTCCACGATCAATCTCGCGCGCGTTAATGGTTTTCAAGAACGTCGTGCCTCTCATGATCAGTGTGAGGATTGTTTTTGTGGAGGATTTGTTGTTGGTTTGAAGAGGAGCAGGCAGTTTTTGCAGGGCTTTGGCTAGGTTTTGGTAAGCTTTGGAGAGGTTTGGGCGATGGCTGGGGGAAGGAGAGGAGCGGCTGCGAAGGAAGAGGAGGTGAAGATGGAAACAGAAGCTGGGGAGGAGGAAGATCCCGAGGAGATAGCGGCAATAGAGGAAGCAGCAGCGGAGGTTGGAGATGAGGATGTGCCGATGGCAGACGGGTCAGGGGAGGAAAGTGAGGATGAGGAGGAGGAAGCGGAGGGTGGGACGAAGAAAGATATTGCGAAGCGAGAGCGGCAGCGTTTGCACGAATTGAAGAAGCGGAAGAAGGCGGAGGTGGATCAATTTCTTGCGGAGCAGAATAAATTGGTAGATAGCGACATGAATACGAAAGCTAAGGGCAGGTTGAAGTTTCTGCTCCAGCAGACGGAAATTTTCGCTCACTTTGCTAATGGGCCGCAGTCTGCCAAGGACGCGAAGAAGGCAAGTAAGGGGCGGCATGGAAGTAAGTTGACGGAGGAGGAGGAAGATAAGGAGTATTTGAAGGAGGATGATGAGGATGTTGGGGCTGCACGGGGGACACGGTTGCTGGTGCAACCTTCGTGCATCAATGGTAAGATGCGTGAGTATCAGCTTGCTGGGTTGAATTGGCTCATTCGGTTGTATGAAAATGGCGTGAATGGCATCCTTGCCGATGAGATGGGGCTCGGGAAGACGCTGCAGACCATTTCACTGCTTGCATATTTGCATGAATATTGTGGTATATCGGGTCCGCACATGGTGGTTGCGCCGAAGTCGACCTTGGGTAATTGGATGAACGAGATTCGGAGATTTTGTCCTGTGCTGCGGGCGTTTAAGTTTCATGGCAACCAAGAAGAGCGGAACTATCAGAGGGACGAGCTGCTTGTTGCAGGAAAATTTGATATTTGTGTGACAAGTTTTGAGATGGCTATCAAGGAGAGGACTGCGCTGAGAAAGTTCAGTTGGCGGTATATTATTATTGATGAAGCACACCGTATCAAGAATGAGTCCTCCATTCTGGCCAAGACCATGCGTCTTTTCAGCACGAATTACCGGCTTCTAATTACTGGAACTCCACTTCAGAATAATCTTCATGAACTCTGGGCTCTTCTGAATTTTCTTCTCCCAGAAATTTTTAGCTCGGCCGAAACATTTGATGAGTGGTTCCAGATATCAGGCGAAAACGACCAGCATGAAGTTGTTCAACAGTTGCACAAGGTGTTAAGACCTTTCTTACTGCGGCGTCTCAAATCTGATGTGGAAAGGGGTTTGCCTCCCAAGAAAGAAACCATTCTAAAGGTGGGCATGTCAACTCTCCAGAAGCAGTACTACCGGGCTCTCTTGCAGAAAGACATGGATGCTATCAACACTGGTGGTGAAAGAAAGAGGCTTCTTAACATTGCCATGCAGCTTCGGAAGTGCTGTAATCATCCTTATCTTTTCGAGGGAGCTGAGCCGGGGCCGCCCTACACCACAGGGGAGCACTTGGTCGAAACCGCGGGGAAGATGGTGCTTTTAGACAAACTGCTGCCCAAGCTGAAGCAGCGACAATCTCGCGTTCTGATTTTCTCTCAGATGACTCGGCTCTTGGATATTCTTGAAGACTATTGCCAATTTCGTTCTTATCAATATTGTCGGATTGATGGTAACACCAGCGGTGATGATCGAGAGAGTTCGATAGATCAGTTCAATGCTCCCAACAGTGAGAAGTTTTGTTTCTTGTTGTCTACAAGGGCAGGAGGATTGGGGATCAATTTGGCAACCGCAGACATTGTCATCCTGTATGACAGTGATTGGAATCCACAAGTTGACTTGCAGGCTCAGGATCGTGCACATCGTATCGGTCAGAAGAAAGAAGTGCAGGTCTTCAGGTTTTGCACGGAGTTTACAATTGAGGAGAAGGTAATAGAACGGGCATACAAGAAATTGGCCCTAGACGCCCTCGTCATTCAACAGGGACGTCTGGCTGAGCAGAAAGCAGTTAACAAAGATGAGTTGCTGCAAATGGTTCGTTATGGAGCTGAGAAGGTTTTCAGTTCTGGTGATAGCACGATTACTGATGAAGATATCGACCGTATTATAGCAAAAGGAGAAGAAGCAACTGCAGAACTTGATCAAAAGATGAAGAAGTTTACAGATGATGCTATTAAGTTTAAGATGGACGATACGGCTGGTCTTTATGATTTTGATGATGCAGATGATAAGGAAGATGGTAAGAGTGACTTTAAAAAGATCATAGCTGATAATTGGATAGAGCCTCCGAAGCGGGAACGGAAGCGGAATTACTCGGAATCTGATTACTTCAAACAGGCAATGCGAGCCGGACCTGTGCCTAAGCCCAGAGAGCCACGCATACCTCGAATGCCTCAATTGCACGATTTTCAGTTCTTTAATACGCAGCGACTTACAGAGCTTTTTGAGAAAGAAGTAAAGCAGCTTTTACAGGCTAAAGCAGCAGGGACTGGCGAGGATGTCAGGGTCATCGAGGATGTAGAGGAGGGTCTTACGGAAAAGGAACAGGAGGAGAAAGAGCAGCTACTCTCGGATGGTTTTCAAAATTGGTCCCGACGTGATTTTGTTGCCTTCGTGCGAGCATGTGAGAAATATGGACGTTATGATTTGAAAAGTATTGCGAGTGAAATTGACGGTAAAGCAGAGGAGGATGTGGAAAAGTATTCTAAGGTGTTCTGGAGTCGGTACAACACTTTGAATGATCATGAAAGGATTATAAAGAATATAGAGAGAGGAGAGGCTCGTATTTCTCGTAAGGATGAAATCATGAAGTCCGTGAGTAAGAAGCTGGACCGGTATCGAAACCCTTGGTTGGAACTTAAGATTCAGTATGGACAGAACAAGGGGAAACTCTACAGTGAGGAGTGCGATCGGTTTCTGTTATGCTCTGTACACAGATTGGGTTACGGTAACTGGGAGGAACTTAAGGCAGCAGTGCATGCATCTCCTGTGTTTCGTTTCGACTGGTTTGTGAAGTCTCGGACACCGTCGGAATTGGCTAGGAGGTGCGATACTCTGATTCGGCTTGTAGAGAGAGAAAATCAGGAGCTTGACCAGCGGGAGCGACAGGCACGTAAAGATCAAAAGAAGATGAACAAGAGTAGTCCTTCTCCTGGTAGAAGAGGATGGGCTAACTCGCCCAGCCTAGAGGAGGTGCAGGGTAATAGTAAGAAACGCAAATAGGCAAGTCCTGAACTCAATACTTGACGTGCGGGTTACTGTCTTAGTTTCTAGTCGAAACTCAAAAAGTATGCAAGACATTCTCAGAGTTTTGCCGGAGGGAACAGTGATTTTGATCGCAATCATGTCGAGTGTAGAGATCTCAGTTATCGTGCGCAATGATGTTCATAGAACCTCTGGAATGGTATGTGCCACAACTGTATTTTGTGTGGAATAGTAGTTTCCTGTATGATGTTTTCGGATGTGTTCTGAATCGCTTTAATTTCTTGAGAACGTTGGTTAAGTTCACGAGGTACTTAGTCTGGGTAGTTGATTTGTATGTGCAGATTCAGGGTTGAATGAGCATCTTTCTTTTTGGCGTTGACTTCAAGGTCACCTCATAGGTGCTCTATGTGGGATATGCTGTGTGCTTGACAGCGCCTGGATTCTCTAGTTTTAGGTTTTTAATACTTGATTTTTCCCAATTTTCCTATTGTACAGCAGGAAAGACAGTATCGAAAGCTTGAGACAGGACCCAAAGTGTATCGAGGAGCTAAAAATGACTGGTTCCCTGCGCCTATGCAAAGACTCAGGTTTTCCCAGCTCAGCTGTCAAATTTAAATTGAAAGCTGCTTTAAATCTCCAGCGTAGGCCTGCTGTTTCAATTGATTTCAGCTAGTGACAGCGGCTATCCATAATGTAGCATCATTCCATAGGTCGTACTTTTTATTGGGAGGATCTCTCTTGCATACAAGCTTGAATTCTTGTAATTTAGATTCACCCCTGCGTGTTCTCTTCCTGATGATCATACAGAAAGCAGGTTGGTAGACATCGGACTAACCAGAGAGGCCAACAGCAGATACAGCTGAGGTCGACTTGTAGGGATATGGTTTCTTCTTTGCCCTGTCAACTGACTTTTGGCAAAAACTAAATTGCTCCTGGAGAACGGATAGTCGTGTTTTGACGGTTGGAACATTTGCATCATTTTTCACTGTGAATGTGTAAAGGTTTGGAATGGTTAGAATCCTTAAGTTATCTAAGTACAAATTGTTAAGATAATAGTTTCTCTGTACTCATCATCATGGCTTTCCTTTTATTTTTTGATTTTTTCAGGAGAACATGTCTTTATAGTACTGGAAACTGAATATAACGATAGTATATCATGATGTCAAGAGATGAACAGTTAAATTTTTTGTTGAGATGAACCGGTTCAAACATACTATTGTTGAAAAGCTTATAATATTGTTAGATACAGTGACTGCCAAAACTGTATGGAATCAGTAATTCTACCATTAGCCATTCATATTTTGTAATTTACTGCATTAATAGCCAAATCAGTTGGTGATTCAAGTTCTATTTTAAGTAACTAATACAGTAACTTTGGCTACTAAAGTACAAGTCCAGCAATGCAAGATAGATTGAGAATGATAACCAAAATAAATTACCACTAAAACTTAGTTATGTTAACACTTAGGTTACAATGTCATTATGCAATCTAAGCTACAAATCTAACATGCAGAAGTGTTAACATAACTTAGTTATGTTAACACTTAGGTTACAATGTCCTTATGCAATCTAAGCTACAAATCTAACATGCACAAGTGGTTTTTTGAGTGATTGAGAGCATGGGCATGTTCTTGGCCTTCATACATATAATTGTGTTCATCATTAGTGCACATCATCTATTCAAATTGAGTACAATGGTTTTTATTAAGATATCTCTTTGTTGATAAGAAGCAAGTAGAAGAAGCAGCTTTATGAAAGTTGAAGAGGAGTGAGGGTACTAAAAATGTTGCTACACTTATAGGAGTCTCAAAGTTGGATTGCACAATTTTGTAAGCAACATTTGATTGATTTGAGTGATATGAATCATAGTTTTGGTAGCAAACAATTGATTTAAAAACTTATGTGAGATAAATTACTAGAGGTGGCAAAGAAACTGTACATAAAGTTGCAAATTACTTGAGAGAAGAGCTTCATATTGGTATGAGTGATAGTATTGTAAGAAGAGTATTACATGAAGTAGGTTTGAAATGCAAGGGAAGCAAAAGAAACCAAAGTTTATACTTTGTCAGATTAAGGTAAGATTAGAATTTTCTAAACATCATTATCATTGAATTAATGATGATTGGGATTGTGTAATATTCTTTGATGAAACAAAAGTCAATTGCCTTTGCTCCAATGGTTGCAATTGGTATTGGTTTCATGTCGGGCAGAATACAAGTACTAGAATGGTGCACCAAACAATCAAGTTTGGAGGTGGGGGAGTGATAATATGGAGTTATATGACTCCAAATGGCCTTGATATGATGTATAGGATTGAAAGAAGAATGGATCAATATAAGTACAGAGAGATTTTAGAGTGAGAATTGATTCATACAATGCATGCAAACAATTTAAATCCTATGAGTTTGTTTTTTCAACAAGATAATAATTTCAAGCATACTTCAAAGATAGTGCATTATTGGTTCAATTTGTAAGAATTTATTCTTTTGAAGTGGCTAATGCAATCTCAAGACTTGAATTTGATCGAATACTTGAGAGCAACTTTAAAATGTCAATTGAACCAATATGAAACACTTCCCAAAAGAATGCTAGAATTATGGAAGTGTAGTAAGGATTTTTGGACTTCAATTATTCTCAATGAGTTTAAGAACTTGTATAGAAACATGCATAAGTGCATTAGATCTAAGCTAGTTACTTAGGCAGATAGATAGATTTTTAAATTTGTTTCAGTTAGTGTGAGTGAAATTGAGTTTTGGACCTAATTTCATTTTAATTTTTCTTATATATGCATACTTGTGTGTAATAGACTTTAATCATCATAGAAGTATGATTTACTACAATGATAATCTTGTGAAATTTATGGTTTTATTTTTGTTGCATCCAATTTACCTACATTATTTATTGAATTTAATTGAGCTAATTTCATACTTGGTTTTGGCAATCATTGTATCTGCAGACTCATATATATGTATAAGTTCAAATTGTCAAACATCATCAAATTTATTTTTAAATCACATTTTTGAATGAAAAGTTAGAAAAATGTCTTCATTTGGATCACTCAAAAGGTAATTAGTAAGAAAGATATGATTATCTTCCATGCAAGTTGGAACAATTCTTATACAAATACATACAATACATGTATATATTTTTACAAGTGTAGAAGAATATTTTTACTTGTATTTTATTTCTTTACCACGTTTTTGTTAAAGTGTTATAGATTATAGCTTATCTTTTGTGAAGAATAAAATGCATATATATATATATATATATATATAGTAGTCTTATATGCAACTAACTTCATTGTTCTTTTGAGAAATTTGAGTTTTTAAACTTCATTCAAGTATAATCTTAAAAACAAGTATGGAATAACAAATTTCAAAAAGTCATATAATTATATTGGTCTTAATTTTTGTAATAATTAGCCCTAATATATCATTATTATAAGTAATTTTAAATACTAATAAAAAATTATTGAATTTTTTTAATACAATTAATTCCAAGCACATGAACACATTATTGTTGAAGCTTTTAGACAAAAATCAAAGGAAAGAGACACAACATAACAAACATTTACCACACAAATAAGTAGTTGGATTGCAAATATATGTTGTGATATGCATATGTTCTAATCTTACATATTCTATTACTGCAACAAATAATTACCAAAATTTAGGAGACTTAAAATATTTGATGGTAAATAAAGGAATTATATTTTACAAGTAAATATACCATTAACTTTACAATGAAATTATGAAGTAAGCATATTCAATTAGAACTGCATTAAGTAAGATGCAAATGAACTTGTAGATCCATTACAAAATGTATATTTATGATTGTGTTTTTTTTGCAATAGAAAGTAATAATCAATTTTTTTTATCCACGACTATATAAGTAAATTATTCATCTGAAAAGTCATTATAAATAACAAATCTAGCTAATATTTAAATTTTAAAATTTAAATCTTTATACTAGGTTTATAGAATTTTAAATTTAAAAATTATAATTAATAAATTTATCATAAAATAATATACTATAATACTATTTTTTGAAACTTAAATTTAAATACTTTATAACTAAAACATATTATTCTATACAAAACATATATTTTTAAATATAATATTAATTAAGTAATAATAGAAATATTAAATAATACTATATGTACATATAAACTTTTCAAAATATTTTTATATATATATATATTTATAGAAAAAAATATAATTTTATTGTAAGAAAAAAAATTAATTTCGAATTTAATTAAATTACTTTTATGATTATAATAACATTTTTTACACTTTAAGATATAAGATTCAATTTACCAATGAAAAATATTTTTTTATAGATAATTAATTTATGATCTATCATCAAAAAAACTCAATTTAATCTGGTAATTAAAAAAATAAATATTCTCACTTATTATACATCTATCTATATTTGATTTTTAACACTTATAATGCTATTGCACTATAATTGTGTATAGATGTGTTTTTAGATTATAACTCAAATATTTTAATTATATGAGATAAAATAATTTTTTTCACAATAACATAAAATTATAAAATATATTAATATAAATATTGTTTGACATTTTGATTACAAACTTAAAAAAAAAAAAAAAAAAAAAAAAAAAACTCTTCTTTCATGCATTCAATAGGAGGAAGAAAAATATATATTAGTAATACTTCTATTAATCAGATTCATGCAAAAATTTGTAATATAAAATATTTATACATCTACTTAATATCTATATTTTTTTTGTTCTTTAGTTATAATTTTTGTATTTTTTATTATAATAGAAAAAAAAACTATTTTATTCATTATACTAACTAAAATATTGATCACAATCTTTTGGCGAGAAAACACAACTATTTGGCATTTTAGAATGGATGTCATGAAGAATAATGGTCTAATTTATAGCTTTACTGCAAGTTTAGGATTTCACAATAATAGGAATTGTGGACAACCATCTTGTGTTGTTGATATAATATAGGCTAGTGTAAGAAATAAAAAATGATTGATATAACAACCACAACATCTATTTAGTTTTATTTTATGTATAATCTTTTTAAGAAACAATAGATGAGTTGTGCTTGCTAAAAAAGAAATACAAGACCATAATGCCCCCACAAACCTAAGAAATAATTGTTATACAAATTAATATGCAAAAAAAATTAGAATAATATTGTGAGATATTTTGAGCTGCATACAAAATATTAATTTAAAAAGTCAAAACTAGAATACTTAGGTGCTTGCACTTTGTTATACCTATGTTTTTTATTTTTTATTTTTTTCTAAAAAATTCAATACAAAATATTTAGCACTGCTAGTACTAGCTTCCTCTCTTATTAATACTCCTCCAAACCTCTTTCATCTCTTACTCATTCACAACTTTGCCAATGTATTTTTTTTCTTTTAATTTTTTTTTTTTTTTTTTTTTTTTTTTTTTTGTGGTGGTTATCTCTTTGCCAAAGAGGGAGAAACTACCTCTGCAGTTGTTTCAAGGAAAGATAAGTATCTATAATATCAACTTATCAAACTTTAGAAGTTAAGCAAGTTTAAATTACTTTAGCATGCTTGCTTCCTTTTAAGTATAGCATACATGTTGTAAACAATGTAAAAATGATATTCATCTTGCAAGCACTGAAATTAGAACCTTGGAACTCATCCAAAACAAAGATCTTACTTACTACACACACTATTATCTCCATCTATTACTCTCATGTATAAAATTTTGAAATAAATTTACAAATAAAAATTAATTTTCTTCCTTCCTGCCGTCTAAGTTTAAAAGGCACTAGACAAGGATATAACTCTTTGCTTGGACACCACTCAATGGATAAAAATCTATTAGATGATATTTATTTAAAGAATACTAATTTGGAGATAGTTTTGTCAAAGCATCTACTTGCTCATTGCTTCAGCAAGTAGACAAATTCACCCCATATACCAGATATAACAAAAATTATATGAAAAACTTAAAACAAAAGTAAATGAAGATAATCAACACTCATGTACTTTGTTTTATATATATATATATATATATATATGTATGTATGTATAAAATTTCAAATAACAAAAATACAACAATGATGATTATGATTTGATACCACTAATCATGTATGCAGCCCAGAAAAGACCAAATGTATCCATAGCACCCCACTTAACCCTAAACACAGTGTGCAATACATTTGATACAGGTATTCAAAAATGGTAAGTAAAATGTCATGTTCATTTGGATTAAACTTGTCCAATCAATCTATTCCAACACTTCCGCATAATGAATGCATTGAAAGCAAAAGCTCACAATGAATCATTTCAAGACATATCAATCAAATTGTCACATCGATGCATCCATAGACTTTATCGCTAGTGTCACATCACATCACTTCCAATAGCAATGATAAAATTCCTCAGATAGTTACGAGGTAATCATCCTTGCCACTCAGGCCCACAAACATGGAAGTCGTAAATGAGTTTTTAACTCCTAATGCAACTCAAACTTAGGGTTGTAAACTGCATTCACCAGTTTCAAGGTTTACAAAAAGTATTCCCTATTTATGTATACTAGAATATTAACAAAGAAAACTGACGAGGCCTAATTGTGCACTCTTCAAAGGTAACGCGTCTGCTCTTTACTCCCAAGTTTCCAAAGAATGGTACTGATATTAGACCCTACGTAAGTATGATCTGAACCTCTCTTCCACCTTCTCACAACTGTGACGAGGCAGAGTCACCCCTAACAACGACCCCAAGCCTCAAAAGAGCAGCTAGGGAGTAAACCTTTTCCTAGATCGGCACAATTGCAACAAGGCATGACCCCTCCCACTGGAGATAATACTCACAACTGTTCTGCCGATTCAAGGGTCTGATTATACATGTTGCACATACTGGAAGCTGATGAGAATACCAGCATCTTACACTAACCCTGGAGCCACTAGATAACAGAGATAACACTACAAGTAATAACATAAAAGTAAAATGAGAAGCTACAACAGAGGAAATTCGCTTTAGAAATATGTAACAACCCACTGCAACAAACCCGAAGATTGAATTAACGCTCAAGTTCACGATCTGGTAAAACAAATGATGGGACCAGAAAATACTTTAAAAATGGTCATGGCTGCTTCCTCTGCCTTGCACAAGACATGGGACGGTACTAGTCTTTGAAGACTGCTCTATTCTACACTTTTCATTCACCTCACAGGCTGCTGATTGTAATGGCTTTTCTCCTTCTTCTTAGCAGCCGCAAGTTTCGCAGCCCTGGCAGATGCTTCTCTGGCAGCAGCCTTAGCTGCTGATGAATCGCTGTCTCCAGCCTTCTTCTTCTTCAAAGATTGCATCCTTTTCAAAATTTCTTTGGGATCAACCGGCTCACTGACTTCGTTGGCGCCAGTCTCTTCTTCCTTCCGCTCACTGTCAGGGGTAGGCGGTACATCTCCGTCTCTCTCCTTAAAGGACTTCTCCTTCTTAGCCTTTCTTCTTTTAGAGCTCTTGCTGTTTGTGAGTGTAGGAACTCCACCAGTCCCTCCTTCCTCATTTCCATTAACAGCCTCCTCTTCTTTCTTGTCGTCAGCATGAGTATTAGATCCTAAAATCAATCAGAGAGATATATTAGTAAATCTGGACAAAAGTAACGTAAATGAACCAATAGATCTAACATCAACACACACAAATAGAAATTATAAAAGGAAAGGAGCTATTTCCTCAGATTGGTTGCCTCTACGATGAAGTAGAAACAGGCAGAATCACTTTGTGAAGAATACACGCACGCAATCCGGATTAGAACATGACATACTATGAATTTGGTGAAAATATAGATCGTATGAATAGCAGGCTACATTTTATAGATAGAAAGCTACTCATAGGTTTAACGGTGAAACGGAGCACACTAGCTAGACATAAGAACCAGCAAGACTTTCTACTGCAGAACCACAAGAATTTACTGTACGAGCAGCATTCCTCACACTGGCACCAAATGTAGAGAATGGAACGCTCGCTCAGGTACTTCTCTTGAACATGAAACCAATGAAAAGCTTAGTTGAGCAGAAAAGGAACAAAGAAATTCACCATTTTCATCTTTCTCTTCAGTCGGCTCAAGGCCAAACTCGGCAAGAACAGCCTCCAAAGCAGCCAGTTCTTTCTTTTTTATCTCTTTCTTCGAGAGCTGTCGCTCTGGTTCCCTGAATACCGGAGGCAAGATAACATCAGGCTTTAATGGGGCCTCGTCGGTCCCTAGTGCTGCTACACTCTCATTTTCTGCTTCCTCCTCAACTTCGTCATCGACCTCGTCTTCTCCTTCTCCATCTTCATCACCTTCTGTTTCCTGAGGATGAAAGGGAGATAACGAGACTTTTCAGATACACAACCATGAACGTAAAAATGATCGGAACAAATTAAAAATAAATGCAAGGAAAAGCATTTGTAGTAATTTCAACTCAGGAAAGATCTGAAGACAAGCATCAAACCACAACTAAGAATCTAAAATAAGCAAAAACATCATGTTACTGTATACAGCTAAAGCGAATATAAGACCTGTGACCATCACAACTCCATTACAATCCAGCCACTTTCAGGGTGAGATAACCAATACTTGTTACAGTTGAAGTAACATGGGAGGCATAAATATCTTGGCTCTATTCACTCAACATATTCCTGTTGTTTCTGTAATACGAAAACCGAAGCTTAACAGGATTGAACCGACATCCCGTAAATAATCACGCCACGACTTGCGTGACTGCACTTACTAATGAAATTTGACAAAACCTAACAAAGAGGCAAGCTGAAAGTCGCTCACGATCATGAGGGGTCATCATCAGCTAAAATAGGAAAGATATCCACCTCGTGTTCAGATTCGAGTGTCGCACCCTCATCTGTTACGTATTACGCCACTCACTGCACTCGTCATGGCGTAAAAAAGAGGAAACACGAAACCCTAGACTACATGTAACAATATTCAGTGGATTCAATTTATCTCCTTCCACAGAGTTCGTTTAGACTGCCGTTGTCATTTGACATGACACGAGATTACAAACACAATCTTTGCGTGAGAGAATACGGTTTTCATCATGGACACCATATGGATGATTCAATAGGGTCGTATTCTTTGATTTCTAGGACATAACAGACCAATGGAGAGTAAATCTGATCAAAGCTAAATCCACAAAACTGGGTTTCAATTCCATGGGATTACCTCCACAATCTGAAATCTGGGTTCCACAACTATTTAGCAGTCCAGATCTAAACGAGCAGGAATTCTCATATTCACGAAAAGCAAACACAAATACGCCACTTTCATCCCTCGGAAAAGCTACATCAAAAGAACAATGCTAGTAAACCTACTCACGAAGTGCTGCGACCGGCATATTCAATGGTGAAAACCCGTGAAACCACGAATAGGAGATCTCAACTTCGGTTCTATTATCCATATCAGATCACGTCTGACCGAAAAGATCTGGTACGTAACACAGTTCCAATACAGCGACTTATCCAATCTGAACCATAGCGCGGTGAAGAAGATAAAGCAACCGCCAAAGCTCAAAAAACACTAACAATAATTCAAACTGACCTCCCCTTGGCTCAAAGCCTCCTTCGATTCCGAAACGGGAGCGACATCAATGTCAGGCGGTGGCGCAGTGGTGGCGAAGTAGTCATCCTCATCGTCGCAATCAGCCCAGGACTTGACAGACACCTGAGTCGCCGACCAGAACTGCGCCTGCTCCTCCTGTTTCGGCTCCCCACTCTCCTCCTTCCCCTTGGACTTCTCCCGCTCCAATTTCCTCCTGCTCGAAGACTTGGAGCGACGTCTCTCAAGCGCGGCAAAGATGTTCGTACTGCTTATTGCCGGCAATCCATCGCCCTTCTTGTTTCCGCTTCCGACCATCCTAACTACTCCACCGTAAACAACTGTCTCCTCCCCACCCGTTCCCTCGACACACCTCTCTGACACACCTCAAAAAACCTTAAACCACAACCCCACCCTTCCCTTGTGACAGACTACGCAAATGCCGCGACTGGCGCGGATACGGCGTTTGTGAACCCAAAACCAAAACGCCGCGCAAATCCTCAATACCACTGGTGGCGTAGTCACGCGCTATCCACCTCTCTAGCGACGATCCCCGCTATTTCCCTCCCAACTCTTCCAAGAGAGTCCCCGGTGACAATGAAGCGAGCCCTACGGCGAAACCCTAAATCATAATGCCTCCTGCTCTTCTCTCTCTCATGCCCCGACGTCCACCCCACCCCACCAACAAGAGCCGGTCGGCGCCGCTTCCGGCCGCAGGCTGCCGTGCTCCGTAGCGCGCTGTGTTCGCACAAGGTCTCCGACCTTGTTAGATGGCGTGCGCGACCGCGCAGCGGCTTCTTCGCAGAACCACGCGACTCGCGAGAAGCTGCACAGCCTCACAAGAAGCTGCTCAATGAGGCGGTCATCCTTCTCCTCTGATCCGCAGTCTACCGCCGCGTGGATTATCGTATATGACGAGGTTGATGTGAGCGTGATTCCGGTGGAATTTCTTTCCAGCTTGTATGCAAATATCTTCGCACTCCCAGTGGAACTGCTTTACCATGGTGGGCTCCTCCCCATCACGAAGCTCTATTCGAGATTGGACATTCTACCCTTTGCCACTTCAACCTGGAGCCTCATCTTACCCACTCACTCCACACACAAAAAGCTTCGAGAAGCATGAACGCAGGCCCAGTTTTAGGGTTTGTGAGAGGGAAAATCCACCCTCACTACCGACGTGTCTCCGCACATCTTCGGCAAATTACACCACGTCTCCGTCTTTTGTATTCAACCAGACCGTAGTGGATGAGTGCTGTATGTTTCATGGTAAGCTTTACTTGACTCGTTCACAGACTTCTACGGCACGTAAGAGTGTCGCTCTTCCTGGATTCCTGCGGCTACCACGCACTCTACTTCGATACATCGAAAAGTTTAAGCCCAAGGGTTACGAAACAACTGCAGTTGTGTGTTTCTCCTCATAGCCAACCCACTTTGAATCTCCCAATCGAACACCTCCTTTTGTTAAGAGTAGACTAGCATCAACTTCGTCGACGAAGGTCCCACAACTGGCCAGCAGCAGAATCATCAACACCTCGGAACCGCCATCCCCGGTCCTTCTCGGAGGAGTGCGGCATTTTGCGCCATTTCGCGTCATTTCGCGTCGAGATTAGGTCGATGGCGGGTTGTCGCTTAAGCGACGCTGAATGAAAGCTGTCCGCTGGCTCTCTGTTCGCGATAGTGTATGTCATTCATCCATTCGTTATTTTCGATATTTTTCCGTTTTTTGTTTTATTTTGTAGAATTAGCTAATGAACTAAATTTGGTTTGAGAATAATAAGGATCTGTACACACAACTTGCCTATAACATATCATTAAAAAAATCATAAAATGTATAATTACTTTTATTTGATTATGTAAACTAAAAAACATCAAGAGAATGACGTAATTCTGAGTACACTCAAAATGATGTTCCAGTTAATTGATTCAAACAATAATAAATGAATGATTTTTTTATATTGGGTATCTTTGGATTAATAAGGTATAGACATTTGAACATATAACAGGATGAAATAATGAAGCACATGAAATTGAAACCATTAATCAAATTTTAGAATAAAATTACTTAGTTATTTTACATCCGAGGTCTTCTGAAATTGTCACTTAATATTGGTTCTTGTTGGTTATAATTTTCAATAATCATAAAACTCTTCCATTTTATAATTGAAAAATCAAACAAATAGTAAAGTTGCGAAATTATATCTAAAATAACGAAAGTAATCTGAAATAATACATTTCAATATCTGCTTTGGAATTAATAATTGACTGTACTCTTCAGACATTTACAGAACGTTAATATTTATACTTTAATCATCGATATTAATAAACAACTAAAAAATCATAGCACAGTTAATACATTCTAACCAAGACTGATGTGTATTTTGAAGTGTACTCTAATTCTGAAAAGAATGTAGAACCGTTTGTTGAATCCAGTAATCCAATAATCCAATAACACACACACACATGTATAAGAATTGTTTACTCACAACACATATTCGAATTCAACCCTGTAAGAATGTTACTAAAAGTATATCTACCCAAATTGGTTGAAAACATGTGTGAAAACGTCCGATATGTACTAAAAGGAATAAACGTAATTGATGAAAAATTCTTCCCGAGTTGAATTTAAGATTCCAAGCAATTTATACCCAGCTGGTATGCATGTGAAAGAAATTTCAATTCAGTTGTTTCTACGCCAAGAAGTAAAAATAAAAACTTGATAACATTATTAACAGCACTACTAATCCCATTGCAGAAGTAATCAAGAAACTTTCACTGGCACATTGCCAACTCTGTAGAAAGCGTTTAATTGTGTCTGCTCTATAGAAAAATATGTTGAGACTGAACAGATGTGGGAGACATCGATTGAGGGTGAAAACCATGCATTTTACTACCACTGGCTGTTTGCTGCAGTAGACACATCTACATTGATATGCGTTGATACAGGTTCAAATGTATATGTGTAAATTTTCCCACATTTTCATAAAGACCGGATGGTCCTATTCACAGGTTACTCGGCGGTGAAGCCCACACGCACCGAGAAGTGGGAATTTATGGTTCACTGCTTCAACCAAAACAACTTCAGATAAAGCTGGTTGATACAGCAATTACTTTGTTGGTATTCGACAACATTTGCCAGTGGAGTTCTACATGATTGTTAAAATATCAAACATATCACCTCATAAAGTTGGTAGTGGGGTTTTTGATATTTTACAAGTGCAACACGACAGGACACCGGAGTTCAAGTGTCCTTTCTCTGAAACTCTCAACTTGGGTTTTTGTGTTGGATATCACACAGATGGAGTCTAAGAGCCATAGATTCACGAAAATGGGTGTGAGGAGGAAGAACATAGGCAAGCCGAAACGGTCTGTTTATTGTGCACGCAGCACAGACGCAGACAGAATCGTGCTGTACAAATGACGCAGGCGAAGAGAGCTCTCGCTACTTCCTGCTGCTTGGAGAAATAAATTATCATGAGATGATGCGTGGTCGTCGTCGTCGTCCCCCCTGTACCGTACAATAGAGCTATTCCCTAGAGTCTAAGGCGTGGTTGAATCCACAGCGAGAAAGGCAAATGAAAAAAATTACAGTACCATTTGCTACCTTCATGCTCCTTGCTACGTCGGCAATTAATCAAAACTGTGCGAGCTGTGAAGGAAAAACAAGTGGCTCCTTGAGCTGAGCCAACGGCCGAGAACCAAAATGTCCAAAAATAAAATAAGTTAAATAGACACAGAAAATAAAAAAATAAAAAAACAACTAGCCGTGCTCAAGTTGATGTAGAGGTTGATTACACAACGCCATGAGGAACCGCGCGCAGTAATCCTCAGCAGCTAATTGCGTTGTGGAGTATGGCAATCGCGAAAACACTATCTGGATTAACATCATACTACAACAAACTTGATGGACTTGTCTTAGTATGATGCTAAGCCAGACGCCAGACTGTTGGATTGGCACTTACCTGTGTCGAGGTCGACATCCTCGAAGTTATAAAGATCAATCGATAGAGCTTGAATGTCGGAGTTAGAGCGGCACTCATACAGGAGAGGCTTGATTTGTGGGTTCCGAGGACGAGGTGGGCATTTCAGTCCCAACGCGGCATCCTTCAAGCATAAAGACCACCTCGGTCATGGAAGGCCTGTCCATGGGATCGGGCGCCGTGCACAAGAGCGCCACCTTCACAGCGAGAAGAAACTCCTCCCACTCAGAGGATTCGGGATCCAAGTCTAGGAGGCTGGGGTCGAAAAGCTCCGAGACTTGCCCGCTTTGTAGTTGTCTCTTCACCCACTTGACAATGTCCTCGTCCTGGTTAGCGAACATGACAGGCCTGCGTCCCGTGAGAAGCTCCAGAAGCACGATTCCGAAGCTATACACATCGGCTGCGGAGGAGAGTTGCCCGGACATGGTGGCCTCAGGGGAAACGTAGCCAAGCGAGCCGACCGGCGTGGAGGACGAGGAGGGGTCAGTGGGAGTGACGGAAAGCTTGTCAAGGCCAAAATCTGATAAATGTGCTTCGAAGTCGGCATCGAACTGGACATTGTTCGGTTTCACATCACCGTGCACAATGGGAGGATCACATTGAGTGTGCAGGAAGGAGAGGCCCCGTGACACGCCAAGCGCAATGAGATGCCGCATGGGCCAGTTCAGCACGTGACCGTCTTGTTGTGCAGCTTCTTGCAGCAAGGATGCAAGGTTGCCGTTTGGCATGTAGTCGTAGACCAGGAGACGGACGTCTCCGTGAACGTAGTAGCCTCGCAGGACTGTTAGGTTGCGGTGCTTGACCTTACCGAGCATCTCAGCCTCCGCTTTGAAGAGGCTATCTTCCACGGCGCCGTCGGGGAGCCGACGCACTGACATCACTGTACCATCCTGCATATAGTGCTCACAATTCACATATCAAACTTAGCTCGGGGTGACGCGATACATACAGTAAGATGGCCGAAAGTTAATATTACAAGAAACATGAGGATTGCAGACAGTACCTGAAGAATGGCCTTGAAAACGATACCATGGCGAGTACGGCTGAGGACGTGATCCTCATCGAACTGGCCAGTCGCCTCTTGAATGTTTGACAGAGTAATGGGAGATCGGAACATGATCACCTTGTCCATGGGCGATCCTGGCGAGCGGCCAATTTTGCTGCGCCGTTTTCTAGTAATTCGAGCAATACAGAAGCAAAGCAATGCCAGAAGAATTAGAGCAAGCACACCCCCGCCCACACAAGCACCAATAATGGCTTTCCACGTCCAGAACCTCCTCCATCTCGCGGCTAATGAATTTGAGGGCTTGCTACCATCACAGTAGCCATTAGTGTCTTGAAGAGGAGGTCCACAGAGGTTTGGATTTCCCTCGAAGGACGCTTTGCTGAATTTTGCGCCCAGGACGCTTGGAATAGCGCCGTGCAGGTCGTTGTAGGAGACGTCAAGCAGCACTAAGGTATTGAGACTCTCTAACGACGTCGGAATCGTTCCAGTGAGGTTGTTGCGGGATACGTTGAAAGACGCTAACATCGACAAATTGCCGAACTCGGCAGGAATCCCACCAGATAGTGCATTCCGTTGAAGGTTTAGAGTTTCTAACCTCGGCAGCAGCGCTATCCCTACTGGTATCGCTCCTGTGAATTTGTTGACGTGGAGGTCAAGGCTTCTCAGATTGGTGCAATTCGCGAGAGACGGAGGGAGGTTACCGTAGAGACCAATGTCGCTTAAGTCTAAAACCTCAAGCTTTTTAGCGACGCCGATATCCGAAGATATCTCTCCCGTAAAGCGGTTTCTTGCGAGTGCTAGTCTCGTCAGTTTAGGAATCCTTACTAGTTCGGAGGAGATGGAACCGCTCAAGGAGTTGCCACTTAGTGAGAGGACGGTGAGCTCAGAAAGATTCACAAAACCCGCGGGGATGCTACCGTTCAGACGATTATCATCAAGGTCAAGCTCCCGTAAATTGGGAAGGTATGTGTACGACGATGGTATACTTCCCGTAAAGCTCTGCCCGCTGAGGTTTAGGGTTCGCAGGTTCATGCAGGTGCCGAGCTCTGGCGGCAGTGAGCCACTCAATTCGTTTGCCCCTAATTGCAACACTTGTAAATTCTGAAGTGAGCTCAGAGAAATTGGAATGGGGCCGGACAAACTGTTCTCTCTCAAGTCCAGAACTTGAAGCTGAGTGCATTCGGCGATTGCGTCTGGAATAGGACCTGTGAGATCATTTGTAGCTAGAGACAGAGTCGTCAAGGCTTGGAGTGAGGCAAAGTCGGTTGGAATGCTCCCATTCAGGAGGTTTCTGTCAAGAGCCAAGAATTGCAAGTTTACGAGAAGTCCAAGTCCTGTAGGAAGACTCCCCGAGAGCTTATTCCCAGAGAGAGAGAGCACTCTCAAACTCGCAAGCTGCGTCAGGCTACTCGGAAGGGCGCCATCGAGGGCATTATAACTTAAATCCATTGATTGAATATTTCTCAGCCCGCTCAGAGCCGGAATGCCACCGGTGAAATGATTGCGGGAGATGTTTAGAGTCTGCAAACCCGCGAGGTTGAATAGGGGAGCTGGCAATACTCCAGAAAGAGAGTTCGCCGCGACGTTGAGCTCCAATAAGGCTACGGCATTGACTATCTCTGCGGGTAAAGGCCCGCTCAACAGATTCTCCCCGAGCCGCAAGATTTGCAAACTCACTTGGCTGGTAAAAATGTTGGGTACCCCGCCTGTGAGGTTGTTATGCGTCAACTCCAAAGTATTCAGCCTCCCTAAATTTGCGAGCCCCAAAGGAATCTCGCCTCCGATTTGGTTCCTGCTCAAGTCGAGCCGCTCGAGGTTCACCAACTGACCGAGTTCGTTGGGGATGCTCCCAGAGAGCAGATTATTGCCGAGAGCGAGAACATTAAGCGCCACGCACTGGGAAAGCTCGACAGGGATGCTCCCAACAATCTTGTTGCTCGTTAAGTCCAGGCTTCGCAGAACTTGTAAGGTTCCGACCTCGCTTGGTATGCCCCCAACGATCAAATTCTGCGAAGCACTGAATACCTGCAACCTCGGACAACCAAGGAAAACTTCCCGAGGAATGTTGCCTGAAAATTCATTTTCAAAGAGGTACACCGCGTGTAAGAGGCTGCAGTTTCCGAGCGACGCCGGAATGTTGCCGTTCAAACGGTTAGTGTGCATGTTCAGTCGGCGGAGCTCACTCAAGTTACCAACCTCGGCTACATCACCAAAAACCCAGAAACTTAGACCATCAGTTCAGAAACAACACTTCCAGGTAACTGAATGCACAATGCATTTCGACACTCAAATCGTTGCATCAACTTCTGAATGTGAAATCAAGAGAAATTCCAAGAGTTATGGCGTAAAGAGATGTAACCTGCGAGAGGGCCTTGCAGGTTGTACTGTTGTAATAGAATCTCCTGGACACGACCCGCAACGCAAACTACTCCATTCCAATCGCACGGGGCATTTCCGAACCCCGTGACCCAGTTGGTCAGGATCCCCTGAGGATCGACCAAGGCCGCCTTAATCGCCAGCAACGCCGCGATATCTGATTGCGCATCTTGCCCGCCCACACACCTCACCAGCAATCCGAAAACCAAAGAGAGAAGCACCAACGCCCTGGCGCCTCCCATTGCCGAATCACCACCGTCCCTTCCTTACCATCCTTGAGCTCCTTTACCAATGCCAATACTCTAGCAATGGGTTCAAGATCCTGTTCTAAGCAACTCACAGTCCTTTCGAATCCTTTTCTCTGAAGCTTCGGCCTGCAAGAATGGAAGGTCGAGCTTTGTAGATCTCCACAACCTAGGCGAAAAAATATTACACCATATCCTGTGGAAGGCAACTTCCGAACGCTTGCTTTTGAGCATGATTCGCCGCGCGGCAAACAAGGGGTAAGTGTCTTGACTCCAAGGAATTGCGCTGTAGAGCGGCATGTAGCAAGTGACATCAGTGATAATTCCCGTGAGCCTGCTCCTGACAAGTCAGGTCGAGTTTCAGATTCATCTTGACTATGTAATCTACCCGATGAAGCCCTAGATTTTGCCGTCTAACCAAGGAGTACAAGTAAACAAACAATTACAAGGCAACCTCCATATCCAGAATCTCTCCTCTTCCCTGTGTGTGTCTCCGTCGATTTACTCCCATCACACAAGTTTCTCCTTCCCCAACCCTGACAAGTCCACGGCTGCTTAATAGTACCACTCGCCAGCACAGACCTAGACTGCTACCCCAAACGGCACGAAAACCAAATCAGCACTAGCAATAACATGGACGGCAAGAAATCTAGCTGCAGCTACTGCATGGTACTCCGCCGGTACCATAAACTCCGCACCTCGCTTCACACAAAACATCCACCGAATCCGTTTCGCCGACACCCTGTAAGAATTTTCCTTGGCCAGCAGCAACGGCCAAAGTTCCAACGACGACGCAACGCTCGGCGAAAAGTCCAGCAAACTTCCACGAGAGAACCCACTTAGCCATGCACCAGACATACAAATCACCTCTGGACACATCAATAGTCAGCTTCAGGAGTCAAGCGTCGCGCACACCCCTTACGTCACATAGACCAACCAAACAGCGAGATGAGAGAATCAGCAGGCAAGCTAGCAACGGTAGCCTTAGCTAGCATCGCTCCCAGTTGTCTGGTCAGGCTCAGGCTGTTGCAGCTGAGAGCAGTGATGATGGTCTCGTGTCAGATGGCAACGGAACCGATCCCGGACCTCTCCACCCATCGTTCCTTACTCTACTCCACGACATCGGAACCAATCCGAAACCAAAGGGTAGAGTGTTTCGGCGCGACTCAGCTTCCGATTGATCCAAAACTTCGAAGCGATGAGCTGGGATTGCAAAAGGTACGCGGGGACAACACTAACGTCTAGCTTCATCACACAAGTCTGCTGACTTAACTGCGGCAGCGCCTGCTCCGCCACCGGGTCGTTCCCCACCGCTCGAAACGGAACTTAAAACTGGAATCGTCCGACTGGTTCGAAGTTAAATCGCAGCAAGTCACCGATTCATTTCTCTGACTCGTTATTTCCTGAATCAATTCACCGAAATACGAGTCGAATCGGGATGTGTGTGGATCAGTCGTCTATCCATCTCTGTCTGTATTGTACCCAGCATGTATGTAGATGGTTACGGTGCACGCATCCGGCAGTGTAAACTCGCGATTTCGTTAAATATGTGTTCGGACATAATTCAAATGCACTGGCAGAGCTTACAGTACGAAAAGAGCCAATGCGATATTCGGATTCCTCCCTCGGTTTTAAGACGGACTCGTCGATGAGAGGAATCATAAAACAAAGACGGCGACTTTTTGGATGTGATCGGCTTGCTTTACCTTGGATGAGCCTCGAGATCCGTGTCGCAATCTTCGTTCACTTATCACACACGCACGAATTAAGAATAGCTGTGTGCTGAATGGCGCTCTCATCATCCGAGCAATCTGAGAGTTAGCGCGCCACAGGCCTTGGCTCCGCCTGCAATTCCCACCCCTTCCGATGTTGCTGCTCTCACTATTTTTTCCAACGGGATGAAACTGTCGTCGACATTTTCCAGGCGGAAAATGACGCTTGGAGGTTAAAGTAACCTTTCGCTTTACTCCCCCAGGCAGATTTGGGGGGAGATTAAAAATAAATGATAATAAAAGTGGAAGCTTTACTGAGTCGGGTGGGAGGAAAACAAAATAAAGTACTGTCATTGCGATGTAGGAAACTTCTTGATTCCAATCATCTAATTGAATTTGTTAAAATGTCTAAAATGCGAGAAACGTGGTGATTATAGTGATATTAAAACAGATCCTTAACGTTATTTACATTCCGTGAAACCCGGTTTTCGGGTTAATGGCCGTAGTGGGAAGTCCATTCGGAGGCAGTAAAATATGTGTGTCCCTTTTTTTCCCACTTTTCTGATCTTAAAAATGTTAAAAGGAGAAAAGAATGATGTTGGTGCATATTCTTTTTTAGAACAACCAAAGTGTCCTTGCATGTTTCTATTTTATGGTTACTCATAAGTCAAACTAATCATGCAAGTGATATTTATATATGTATGAATATATAAATAGATGTTTTTTATTCTACGCTATCAGGGAAAACAACGACGTCTACACCACATTATAACCCATCTGTTTTGTGTGCCAAAACAAGAGTGATTTGAGGATCGTAGATTTGTATTAGGATTGATCAAGAATAATGAACGAATGGACAATGACATAAATTTGCTCATGATATAAAAACAGCAACCATGGCAACCCACACCATGATAACATATTTGTACTTTTTCATAAATACTGATGTAATATGTTTTGAACAATACACGTACAAAAGAACTCCAAAAATAATTTACACAGAAACCACTCCTCCTTCTGAAACTACCATTAATGGCGTCCAACTTAACGTGAACAACAGATTATTTATACACAGTTACATTCCACATATTTTATTCTTCGCATTCATTGGAAAACATTACTGTATATCAGACAACCACTACAAAACCCCAAATTACAAACGTGAACTAATAGAACTAAAAATGCCATCCTCTTCAATTGGCCACCATTTGAATCGGAGAAATTAGATAATAACAAGTACTTCAATCCTCTAAATTAATACATTGCCACTTTCTTGAAAGGTAGATGGTGGAGTAGCTTAAAGGAGTAGTGCGCAAAACATGGTCAGACGTGGAATTGAAGCCAGTAGACGCCGAACAACGAGGCGAACCAATCTGTTCCATATGTTTCTCGAGATGAGTTGGCAGTCACGCGGACAAAGCGGGATTGGGGCAAGGCGCGGAGACCGGTGCTGCTATAGCCTCGTTTCGGCGTATGCCTCTATCGGACCCCATGGAGACCTAATTTATCCGATATTTCTTTTTCTTTTTTCTCTTTTTCTTTTTCTCTTTTTCTTACTCTACATGCTAGTGTGGCACCTTAAATGTGAACATTCAGCCGTTCGGTTGTAAAAGTGAAAGGAGCGGGAAGAAGTGCTGTGGATGAATGACAGATAATTCATTCATTAGTGAACGGAGTAACAGCCTTCCAACTCGCACTCATGGAGCCCGTCTGGGGTTTAATGCACGCTGCCGAACCATAATTCGTTTTCTTCTTCGCTAAGAGATGGCGCTTTATGGATGAATGAATCGTTGCCTTCTCATCCAGATGCTCAGTGTCTGGACCAGGACGTTTTATCAGATGAGATACGTAGTGGATGAATGATCATCTATCTTGGCTTAATTAGTATGGAGAGGGTTTTATGAGTGACCTAATGACAACCATGTGAATCCAAGGACTTCTCCTCATTGTGTGTACTGGAATGGAGCTTTGAAGGGACACCATAAGCACAATCCCCATGCAAAAATATTTATTTTAATTGTCAAGATCCAGCCTTTTTCTTGCCTGCCCTTATTATTACACACAAAATCGACATATGACTTTTTCATAGGTAGCTGAAATACTATGCCCTTTTAGCTCTGGCGTAAGCTTTAACTTTTATTTCGTCTTTCTTTATCCTTCTGACATTAAGTTTGGACTTTACCATGTGAGTTAGTGTAGCTTGGGGTTAGTGTAGTATGAGAAATGCGAATTAAATTGGATGAACATTGCAAACAACTCCAACCAATATGAAAAAAGATTCATTTTCTTTATTTTGCTATGCTTAACACATGGTATGTATAACATAGGAGTTCAATTCACACAATCTATGAAATGATTATTTTATAATGTCTAGAAAAACAAATCAACCATCCCATGGCAATAAAACCCATACATTCATTTATACCAAGGTCAAAAATATGACCATGTGTATCAATTTGACCCTTTTTCTCACATGTTAATGTGGCATTTTTTTTGGCTCTTCTTTTGGCATTTTTTTGGTTTTTTTGGTTTTTTTTACTACAAATGAAATCCTTGTGCACTACTTTGTAAATCTATTAGATTTTCAATCAAATCAAGCAACAAGAGGTACAACAACCAATAGAGGCACCAAGGGCAAAAAATCACTCTTTAAAGGACATCACCTTGCCCAATACTCTTCCAAGAATTGTGTGGAAGATGGGGTCTTATCTTCTCCAAGGATGGCAAGACAAAACCAAACACCTTAAATGAATGCAAATATAAAAAAAAATTGTTTTTTAAACAAAAAAAAAAAAAAAGAGAAAAAGATAAAGATTTTTATATATGGGTAGTGTTTTATTTTTTTTTAATGGCATACCTGAGTAATCCAATTCTAAAAAATGGTTCATTTATATTATGTTGTCAATATTAATGGTATACTATTTGGTCACTATTGACTGTGGAATGGATGTCTTTTCGTATCAACCAAAGTAGCTGATGAGAGGTGATGAGAGCATAAGTTTGGCCTATGTGGCTTTTATTTTCAAGCTATTTATGGGCATGGGTTAGTTAGTCCATCGAACTCATTTAAATAGAGTAATCTTTGCAGGTGAGCTCAATTAGTTTTCACTAAATGCTGCAACTATAGTTGGTGGGGAATGAGCACATTTCACCTGGCCAAGTGATGCTTCCAGATGGATTCACAGATTCCTTTTCTATACCAAGCCTCCAGCTGTGTGGCTACTTCTGATAAGATCCATAACTTATGATAAGATATGACAAGCCCCTGATAAGAACCTCATTCGTTCTGGTATCGCCTTCATATTGGGCTCTTGCATGCAAGCCACGATTTATTTGTTTTAATGGACTTGAATAAGTTTCCTCCATTTATGTTCTGGTGAAACCCCACCAAAAAAAAAATGAGAATTTTTGTCATTTTTTTGTCATTTTTTTTTGTCTTTTTTTGTTTTTGTTTTTGTTTTGTTTTTGTTTTTGTTTTTGTTTGTTTGTTTATTTGTTTTGTTTTGTTTTTTGTTTTTTGTTTTTGTTTTGTTTTGTTTGTTTGTTTATTTGTTTTGTTTTTTTTTGTTTTGTTTTTTTTTTTTCCATTTTGGGTCTTGAAATTGTATTTCTAATTCTGATCTGTAAAATTCGCTCAATCCTCAAAGCATTACAGTGTAATATTCCCATGTGGGTGACCTGGGCAGCTATCGCTTCCTTACAATAAGATATGCTTGAGTAAAACCGTTACTTCATTAGTTTCCGTGGAGTGACAAAGTCACAAATATGTTTACAGACACACACAGATAAGTCAAGTGTTCGTTTCCATTCAGAAATATTAGTTAGACCCTAGTTTGCAGTATCTAGTCATACAATGTACATTGTTTAAATTTATACGCCAACACATGGGAGCAATGGAAAGGATGTTCCTGCTGAAACTGGAAGTGCAGGATGCTGTCGCCGAAAGTTGTAAGAACCTGCTGGGAAGTAGAAAATGTCTCTTCAGACATAGTAGACCCACAGTCTCAGATAAAAAATTGGGCAATGACAACATGAGAATATTCCACAGGAGAACACGCGACTAACCCACAAGGAGTACTTGTGTTATCGGAGGATTCCAGAAACGATAAGTTTCTAGGAGTTCAAATTACAATTCACTGGAATCAGTGTCGAATCGCCGAGATCATAAGGCCGACATTTTACTGTTGAGTTTAACACCTTTGGAATTTGGCCTTCTAAGCGAAACCTTCGACACTGGATAAGAACTTCAACTAGCTGAGCAAGACGGCCAGTCTATTCGTTACAACTGGTCATTAAACTCAACAGCAGCTACGAAGCCAAGTAAAGATAACTAGTCTACTCTAAGATTTTTAGTTCCTAAAGGACAACTACTCACCGTTTGGATTAGGGTTGTCTGCTACCGTTCCGATTGGGATTTCAAAATGTATTACTTAATAGACACCTATCAGCCATTTACGGAGAGACGTGACTCCAGCAGTGACCAACGAAAGAAGGCGTAGAAGGGTAGGGTGAAGAAAAGGCACTGACGACCAAAGACGGTGTAAGGCCCGGAATTTTTAGCTGCTAATTGTAGAGGCCCAACCACAAATGAGACCACTTGTGACATCGTGGCATACGTACACATGTCTCTAGAGCCACGCTGGCGTTTAACTACCATTCTAATAAGATAAAAGGAAAAAACCATTGCAGTGGTTTAATTGGAATACCCTGTAGGATTCTTAACAGCACCCCAACTTCCCTTCCCTGGTTTGAAAGCCGACCAATTCCTTCCGATTCTTATTCTGGGGATCTGCTCTTACCGTCATGACGACCTGCCACGTGGTAAGTAGAGTATCAGTGAAAAATCTCCAGCTAGTGTTGTCAGCTCCACGACTAAGGAAGCTAAGAGAGTCGCGTGGTCAAACATCCAACGAAATTGTGGAATTAAATCCATGTGCATGTCAACAAAGCACCATGAACGCTGCACGAAAAATGGTAAGCACATGACCACGTATAATGCGTGCTATAAAACAACTCCAAACACAACAATAAATCATGACTTCAGAATTAAATGAAATATGTACTGACAATCTTCTGAAAACCCAATACTGAGTAGTATTGCACTTGAGGCAAGGAAGTTTCAGAGCTGATCGGAACAAGAGAGACCCAAAGCCCAAGAAAAAAGTACCTGCCAGACAGAGGCTTTCCAATGCATGGACACAGAAAACCATGAGCTTTGAAATTTGGATGAATAAGCGCCCTATTTTGTATCTGTTTCCAAGTGACACTGAGTGGGTTCGTTTTTAAGTAAAAGAGCTGTTCTTGGGGTCGTCGTACAACTGAAGCCCTTCTTCTGAGCCATCTTGCAGCGGTCGTGGAATTCATGAGATGCCGTCGGAGGTGATAGCTGTATGTCTTACACTAGTGCCCGCTTGTCTTGCGAAATGGAGTCCATCGTGCGAAACTGCTGAGCTTTCAAGAATGACCAACACCAGTGTACAAAAAGTTGATTCATTTGGCATCTTATCAATCTGAGAAGTTCTTCTATTGCAACTAGATTCGTATAATAAACTTTCCTTTGACAATCGCCTTAACCCGAGCGTTCTTCAATACTATTCGGAGTCTTCTGTTTCCGAATAGCCTCCGTCTTTAATCTTTCACCAGCTCAAAACTGATGACGAAACCTTCATAGAAGAACAGTGTTACAGCAAATAGTTCTATGTCTATACAAATTGGTTGCTAAGTGCAGTAATCACTAAATATCAAGGTCTACATAGGACCAACCCTTGGGATATAGAATGGAGCTGTCGTTTTAATGAAAAATTATACTTTACACTAGCACAGTACGAATCAATCAATTATAGGGACTTAAACTCTTCCGAAACAAAAACGAATGGGTTGGTAGAGCGTCATAAGCTCACTCCCTAATTAAGAAACGGGGATATGAAGAAGTCCACCCAGGTGTAGAGGAAAACAGAAGCCATTTTGAATTTCTACAACTATCTCCGTGACACTCTCAGCAAAATATGTAGATCTCCTGGTGGCCCCCTGTAAGATCCAAGTAAAAGATCAGAGGAAAGAAAAAGAAACAAAAGAAAAGATATATATATATATATATATATATATATATATATATATATATATATAGTAAACCACTAGAGAACAAATTTCCACATCATGGGAGGTCCCGAGCAACCGAGCAATTGCATGTGAAGTAATAAAGGACAAAGTTACAAGGTACTTTGAAAGTTGAAATTAAAGACATACCCTCTCTTGCCTGCATGACCTTCTCCACGAACACGAAGTGTGCTCCCATTCTTAACACCTGCAGGAATTTCAACATTTATGTTTCTTACTACATTCACCCTTCCATCTCCGCGACATTCAGTGCAATAATGGGCTGGCACTTGACCCTCTCCATCACACTTTGGACAAATTGCAACCTGCAAGCAAACAAACTTCAAATTTAGTACCCTTAATACAATCCAGACTTTCTACACAGTCTGATATCTTGCCCTTACGTAACGAGCCTAGAAGGCTCACACACGCTTCAATCACCGTATATATATATTTAAATTATTTTCAATGCAAATACCACAGGAAAGCAATAGTTTGAAAAGAAATATCTACGTGTCTGAAAAATGTAACACTGCAGACACTTATAATTGGCTATTTATCCAAACGTATAGATATGACATCCTGAGGAATGTGATATACCTCCGAGAATTCTCCAAACGGAGTTTGTGACAATTGAGCAAATTGCCCTACACCGAAACAAGTTTGGCAAGTTTTCTTTCTCCTACTGCGGAGCTTAGCACCAGTTCCTGAACACGTGCTGCAAGTTTCTAAATGCGTGACGTCAAACACTATCTGCGTTCCAAAGATGGCCTCCTTCAATGGTAAAGTCATTTCAAATCTACAAACGCCCCAAAAAAAAAGCCTAAGTTAACCATAATAGATAAATAAATAATAAAGACAGCATCTAATTCCAAGTTACACCCTCATAGAATCAGGAATATTCTAGACGAACTACTTCATAAGCAGCATCGAAGTACTTAAGAGCTTACAATCTAATCACCGAGACTTGGATCAACGAAAAAAGTCCAATATTCTTACCGAATATTTTCGCCCTGATTGGATTTGGGGCCATGTTGTGTATTGGGTCTCATACCTCCCATACCCCCAACACCCCCAATATCGCCCATTTCTTCTCCGGAGAACTCATAAACGTCAATCGTATTCGTCTGAAAATAGCACAAACGAGGTCAAAGCCATTTATAAAATTGACTTACAAATGAAGCATGAAAGCTTTGGAATCAACATCTACGCCAATTTGTAATAACTAGCAGATATCTAAAAACATGTAGCATTTCATAAGTGCTCGCGTTAAACACGAAAGAATTTGAGAGTTGAAGTTGGGCATTGTACCCAGTAAGGATCTGCACCACCAGCTCTGCCCTTAACCATGGGCTCCTCATATTCGAATAGATCATATATTGGTCTCTTCTCATCATGAGTCAGAAGCTGCAACCAAAAGAACTTACATTGTCAGAAACATAAGGCATTTCTCTCATCAAACTAATCCTAACTAGACAGAGTAGCTGAAAGCATGAGGGTAAATACAAAGTCTGTCTTATCTCAGCAACAAAGAAGAATTGCTACGCGACGCTTGTGAATCTTTACCTTGTAGGCTAGGGTGATCTCCATGAATTTCTCATCGGCACCTTCTTCGCTGTTCACGTCCGGATGATACTGAACACAAGAACTCAATAGATGTTTTCAATGTAAAGAGAAGGTGTGCTGTTTTCACTCTAGAACTCTCTATTAGTAGAAGAGTCCCAGCTGAATTCTGTTGCCTGTTTAATAAACTCATCTCATCCTTCCGTGCTACTCTGATCCGACAACCTCAAAATCTTAAACAAATTCATGGAATAGAAACTGTTTCGAAACTAGCCACACTCGCCCGAAAACAGGATACTGCGCTCAGATGTAGCTCCGATGGATAAAACTCCGGAATCATACAATGCAAGCTACAAGTGCAAAAACTAGAGTCCACCCAATGGAGAAGAATCTGTTCACTCAACCGCACAAGAATTTTATTCCGCAGCGGAAGTCGTTGATATCATGTCTGATTTTAGTGCAACACAATGGCTGCAAAAGTCCGAATGATGACTCGACTAGAAAAGAGGGTCTGGAAGCTCACCTTCCGGGCTAGCTCCCGATACGCAGCCTTGATCTCAGACTTGGTCGCTGTCTTCGATACACCTAGAGTGGCATAGTAATCCATACCCATGCATACGCACGTCCTGCACCCACCCTTCTTCCTTTTCGCAATCCCCTTTGCTTCCGATTCAAATCGATTCTGCAAAACCCACAATCTTCCCTCCCCAGCTGCGAACAGCGCTCTCTCCATAGCCACATATCCATTGCCAGACTCCTTCAACGTCAATTTCGTCTTCTGATGTCGAGGCATTGCAGAGGCGGAGGAGGATCTCGGCGGGGCCTGCACTGCCATCGCCATGTGAATTGCCACCATCCTTGCGACCATCACTCTCTTAGTTCGCTTGTGACCACATTTCCGTGTCACCCACTTCGCAAAAATGGTGGCATCGAACCCTAAAAATGGGAACCCAGCTTCAGATTGTGACGAAGCTTGGCAGAACTCTTCACCTCCGACTGCGAACCTCCACACCCGGCGCTTCACACGGACATACACACACGGCCATACACTCTCGGACGGACATACACTCACGACCGTGAACCACATTGAGTATTGCTACGTTCACGCACGCACACACTCACTCTATCAATTTATTTTGTTGGAGTGTATTGAATGTATGTTTGTGTCTGTGTGCATTTATTTATGTATTTGTAAACAAACGGGAACGTATATTTTTTAGCACACAACCAGTCCTAATTACATGCATTGTGTACAAAAGGTTTTAAAACTATTTTCATCTTGAATTTTTGTAAAAGTTTGTTGTGTTCAATGTATCATCAATGTTCATAAAATAAAAAGGATTTCTATATTATTACATTTGTTCATGAGAATTAAATTTTAATGTAAGACTTTTTTAAAATATGAAATACTTATACATGATTCTTTTAAAGTACATAATGAGTTAATTATATTAATCTGATCTTATAATGCAATATTTTAGAAGTAATTAATAGAATATATACAATTTTTGGATTTATAAGTTTGATATATCTTAGAGATGTACATTAAAATAACACTACAAACATAATTGATCATGAAAAAATACTAAGGTTTGAAGGTCTATACTTATATCTTGCAATAATTAGTGTTGAGATTTGTTAATAGTCACTGGATATACAAATTTTATTATAGATTTTTTGTTATTAAAATTTAATTTTTTTTTGCAATAAAGATTATAATATTTTTAGAAGGCAATTTGATTATTCCGTATGGTTTCTTGTTGGTAGCCTTTTTTATAATAATATTAATAAGTTGTGTAACAACTATGTAAGAACCATTGTATGGCCCTTGGCATGGAACAATATTTCTTAAAAATATTACAAATTATTCAACTTTAAGTTTAAATTTTGATCAAAATATCCTATTAAAACTTAATGTCTTTAAATGACCTATTAAATTAAATTTTCTACCATTTGTTTTAACTTTTATTAGAACTATTTATTTGATAAATAAATCTCAAAGCTTTTTTAGAATATAATTTTAGAGATTTTAATTACTAAAATTATAAATATTTATATATTTTGATTATAAAATTGATTAATCCTTGGAATATTTAAAAGTGTATGCTTCTTTCACTAGAAATCTAATATGAGTGGTTTCAATAAAAATTTAAAATTAATTTACATTTACATAACTTAATAAAAAAAAACTTATATTTTTTGATGAATGAATCATACTTCTAATTTTTAATCATAATTAAGAAATATTTACTGTAATATATATATATATATATATATATATATATATATATATAGATATAATTTAAACAAACACCATTTAAGTTTTTAAACTACAATATACATTTGTATTGATATAATGTTTAATTTTTTAAGCATAAAATTAATTATAAATATATAAATTATATATATTTTTATTTTTTTATTATAAAAATATCTTCATCAACTATAACTTTTAAATAAATTATATAAATAAAATATTTTTTAAAAATAAAAATTCTAATATAGATCACAATTTTAATTATCTTAAATATATATATATATATATATATATATATATATATATATATATATATATATATATATATATATATTCAAAATTTTATTTTATTTTATTTTTTTAAACAAAAATATTTAAAATATTTTTGTTAAGAGGATATTCAATGAATTCTTTGGCTATTTGTAAATCTAATTTTAAAATACACTTTAAGATTTTGTAAGAATATTTTTCAAATTGTCTATGCACTTACAAAAATCAAGTTATATTTTGTATGTAACAAGTATAAGAAGTATTTTATAACAACAAATAGAGTCCACCTATTAAAGGATAGTTAGAATTGTACTATGGATTGGTAATGAAAGCTTATAAAATAGAACCTATCTAATTAAATATTGCTAAGACTAGTGATTGAGTATTTACTTGTAGAGATCAAACAAGTACTACAACATAATACATATGTAGCATTCTACTACATATGTAATATTTGAATATGTGAATGGTTTATACTACATTTGAAATCTACACATCATTTATTTACGTAATATAAAAGGATCTCAACAAAATTATGTCATTACTACTTATAGACGTTTATTCACTCTAAGTATGTGTCTAAGGTTGAAACTAGGATCCTTGTATGCATTTAGGGAGGTTATGCATTTGTGCAATATATATTTAGAATAGTTTTATTATAATCATTGAATTTTTTCATAGCTTTAATTCCTTTGAGCTGAGCTTAATTGCATAAATATATACTCTTTTCAATAGTATTTCCATTTTAGAGTGAGTATAATAATGCAACAGTGAATACTTTCAAAACATTTTAAAAACCTTGGTTTAAGTCAACACAAATATGGTAGAAATGAGCAACATATCTACAAACTTTTTTTTTGTTAACTTAGTACTTTAGATGTAATGCACATACACTCATACATACACATATGTATCTTTTCATTCAAGAAAAGCTTTAGATTTTCATGAACTTTGTATAATTATATTACTAAAAATTCTTTTGGTAATATTAATCTTAGAATTTTTTTTATTAATTAGACCAATTTTTAAAAAAAATCATCTTCATAGATTTATCCACTATTTTTTAATTATATTATATAAACTTGCATACCTAAATTAAAAACAATCAATTTATATAAGAAAACTAACCACCTTTTATTTAAAAAATATAAAATAATAATACAAGAATTCTTGCTTTGAAAGTACCTTTCAAATTATTTACAAAACTAAAATAATAGTATAATTTTTATGTTTCAAAAATACAAGAAACATCTTTTACTTTGTTTACAACTTTTAACAAAATAATCATTAAGCAAGTCCCAATCCTTATTTTCCATCTTAATAACAATCAAATCAATTTGAGTATTCAATATTGTAATATCTTAATGTTTAAGTTTCAAAGATTTTCTTTGCACATGCACCTTCATTCTATCTTAGAATCAATTAAATTATGGTCAAAATATTTTGAAGATTCTTAGATTTATTTGTATTGCATTTATGAATAAAGTTATTGAGAGTTTCATAGACTTACATATTTACTTGAATAATTATCTATATAATATGAATAAATAAAAGTAGATAGAAGTAGTTCAATTTGATAATATCTTATAGAGAAGCTTCTTAAAAGCTTTATAGATGTGTTTTCACCTTTATAAATGTCTATAGGTGATTAATAGGTTGAACACTTGGCCAATAAATTAGCCATGTGTTGTACGTATTAATAGCTTGTGGTGCAACTTAATCATGTGGTGTTCATATAAAAAATTTACCTTATAAGTTAAGACATATAACTTGCAAATTAAACACTTGTCAAAGGTCCTATAGAATATTGCTGTCACGGACACAAAATACAGACTTGAAATCTAACAAGAAGTTCAAGAAGAAGTGGCAGAACTAGATTAAACAAATGAGTACAAGAACAACACCAGAAAGGTGAGCTAGAACTCCAAGAGATGTGTTGTCGAGACTGAAGAACCCTTCAGCCTCGACTCCTATATATACTACTGAATAGGAAGCTTCTCGAGCTACTTCCGCTAACTAGGACGCTTCTCCAACAACTTCTACTAATTAGGAAACTTCTCGAGCAACTTCCTAGAATCTATCAGAATATTCTAGAACCTTCTAAAAGAATCTTTAGGGAATATTCTAAGAATCTTCTAGAATCTTCTAAAAGAATCTTTAGAGAATCTTTAGAGAATATTCTAGAAGAATATTCGAAGAATCTTCCAATGTATGTCCATGACATCACCTCCTCTTCTAACTTCGAGGTCTCCGAGAAGCAATGTTGTTATCAGTCAATACCAACGCAAGAAAATGAAAATCTGTCGCATTACATCCGCTATGAATTCCAATTGTTGTTCGCGAGGCAAATGATTCATCGGCCCTTGGAGCCAACGATAGTGACCAACACCTTCAACCTCTGACCAAGCGTGGACTTCTGTGTCTTCATTGTGAAATTGTCCTCCAAACACACCTTCTGGCTGACCGTCGTAGGCATGCTCGACCTCAAATACAATTACTAGCGATCTGTTGCTCGGTATCCTCCGACGTCGTCGTGGTGCATGCGGTTCTTCATCTCGCGGTCGTCTTCGTGAGCTAGTCGCTTGAGATGACATAACAAGTGTAGTATCTTGACTATCCATGTCCAAAGGCTAAAATGATGAGAGCAAACTATAGTTGCTAACAAAGTTCTACACTATCGAACTATGGGTTTTGGAGGTGCCCTCCCCCCTTTTTATGCTACTTGATGAGCAAGCTTCAGCAAGAAGCTATCGTTGAATCGGCTTAGGTTTATGAGGATATTGTTGATGAAATTCTTGTACCTTTTTTGGTGCATTGGCAAGATTTTCGGCACGCTCCCACGTTCGTTCATTGATGTCGTATCCACTCCAATGCACTAAATAGTCCAATTTTCTCCTATTACGCCGTGAATCTAGTACCTTTTCCACCTCGTATTCGTCATGGTTTTCAATTTCGATACTTGGTGGCGGACTTTGTACTCTTTGGGGAAAAGCTGACTCTCGATAAGGTTCCAACAAAGACACGTGAAAGATTGGATGTACCTTCATAGTAGCTGGTAACTCCAGACGATATGCCACCGGATTGATCTGCTTCTCGATAACAAATGGCTCTAATCTCCGATAGTCCAATTTGTCACATGGCCGCTTGGTCTTGATATTCCGTCGAAGAAGCCATACTTTACTTCCAACTTTAAAAGTAAGCGCCTCATTTCGATATTTATCTGCAGATGCCTTGTAACTCTCTTGGGCAGATTGCAATTGAAGCTTCAACGTCGCTTGAAGCTCCGATAGTTGCTTCACAAATCCTTCAGCTGCCGGGTTGTTATTTGCTGAAGAACTCAATAAATCGAGCTTGGGGTGGTATCCGTAGTTGGAGAAGAATGGTGTTTGTTGAGTTGACGCATGAAGAGTGTTGTTGTATGCGAACTCAGCAAGCGGTAGATATGCAGTCCAATCATCTTGTTGATAGTTGATGCTGCATCGTAAATATTGTTCCAAAACTTGATTCACCCGCTCCGTTTGACCGTCAGTTTGAGGATGAAAAGCCGAAGAGAGCTTAAT